AATCGCTAGCGTCACAGACCACATCGAATGGTCTGTCCTGGTTTGCAATCGCCAACACAGGCAATTGCACCAAACGTTTCTTGATACCTTCGAAGGAGTGCTGACACTCTACACTGCATTACCACCTCTTGTTTTTCTTTGCAAAAGAGAGAGATGTACGGTCATGTCGGCGTAGTTGCGCGAGTACTTGTGCAACTTCGCCGCTAAGCCAAGGAACTTTCGAAGTCCTTGACGTCTGCTGGCACAGGCCAGTCATTAATCGCCTTGGTCTTTTGCGGATCAGGGCGCACGTCGTTTTCACCCACGATGCAACTAAGAATTGGTATTTCGTTCGCTGTGAATGTAAACTTCTTAAAAATTCGCGAACATCTTATGCTCACGCATAAGTGTAAAAATCTTCCGGATGTGGATTTTATGAACCTCCACGTCTGTTTTTACATCCATAGCGTGGCAATGGACGAAGACACCGTCACAGTAACTCGTTGCGAAGTATCGCACTGATCACAACAGATTTGTAACACATCTGTTAAAAGTTGCCGGGGCGTCACTCAGACCCTGTGGCATTACTAGTCACTCCCACAGCATACCACTGGGGGTGTTAAGTGCCGTGTACGGGATGTCCCGTTCACGCATAAGGATTTGATAGAATCGATCTATTAGATCCATGGATGAAAAGATGGTACGCTTTGCCATACCATCAATGATGACGTCCTTCCTCGGTATCGGCATTCGAGCCGTTACCGTTGCAGCGTTCAATTTGTTAAACGCGTGCACTATCCTCCTCCCTCCTGTGGATTTTCGCACATAGAAGGTCGGAGAGCTGTGTGGGGATGCTGATTCCGTCACATTACTAGCCGCTAAGCGATCGGCAAAGAATTTGTCGATCGCTGTGACCTGTTCACGAGGCAGTGGCCACTGCTTCATGACACAGTATTTCGAACCAGGTTCAGTTCGATCTCATGCCGAGTTCTTTGTCTTTGGGCAGCTCGCATGGCACGGATTTCGGGAAAACATCCCTGAATTCCACCAAATCCTAGTGCAAAGACTTTGTCTTTAAAGACATTCAAGATTGAGACGTGTATCGCTTAATCCGGGTCTTCTCATCGAGGACACTCTCGTCCATTGATGAGCTGCTGAGAACCCGTTCGTTCTCAGTAAACACTTGTGCCGACCGAATATCGACGACGTACTCGTCCTCTGTGACGAGTACGCAGATCTGCTCGATCTTGTCACTACGCAGATCTCGCAAGAATCTTTTAGATCCTAGCTTTATTACCTTGACTACCTCCGAAACTGACTTCGGACGTGTAAACAAATCAAGTGTATAAGCGCCTACGCTTGATCTGTCATTCACCAAGACATTCATTGTCTCGGTGATTTCTTGGGAAAACACATCCGCAGGTGGTTGGAGAAGCACACCCTCAACATAACTCTCTCGGGAGTTATCACTCTCAGGAACGCTGGAACTTTCTTCTGATTCGTGTAATGATTGTGTGTGCACTGCCACAATCACGTCCTCTTCGATCGACTCTCTGATAGTCGATCTCGCTTCAACGTGTTGTCCATCCTGAACAACACTAATCTCTCTTCTCGGATGCACCCTTTTTGGTGTGCATCCGTGTTCCAGTCCACTCGATCTCTTCGAGTGGTGAACCTTCGGCGCAGCCTGTGTCTCTACACAGGTGCCGGAAGCTGATTCCACAGTGCAGTGGCCTTCTACACTGTGATCTCGTGCAGTCGATCTAACGACCGTACCGCAAAGGAGGCCATAGCACTCACTCGTAGTACATCCACACGCTTGTGGACGCTCCAAGACGTTCATCGGACGGTCATTTGAAAAACAAACGGCAGGCATCTTCACGGATCGGTGCTGCCAGCTGATCCATGGCTGGTAGTTCTAAGCCATGGCAGACCAAGGATGACATCAAATTTGTCATCCAAATCAAATACAATAAATTATCATCCTAATGTTTTACTTCTAGCGTCTGGTAAATTCCCACTACACGTTTGTTCACTGTTACGGATGCGCCTGTAGCAAAGCACACCGTCATCCTCGTTGGAGGGATATCTCGCTCAACGTTTACGAGTCTGCTATCTTTTAGCGACTGGCGTCGAATAAAACGATTCGATGCCCCACAGTCAAGTAGGGCGCGAAGTGACATTCCACTTATCACTTCGATCTACAAAGTGATGAGGGACTCTTTATCACTAGGGACAATAACAAGCAGTGACTGTGTGTTGGGAGCAATCTTTGTCAAGAGTCATGCAAATTCTCTGGACATTGCTGGATCAGCAGGGTGCTCCGCCCCTACTGACCCTGACGGTTTTTTGACGGTCCGATTTTCTGTCACGGCTTAGCGACATGGTCGGATTCACACCTCGAACCTTTTCTTGGCCAATGGTGATCATCACGTCCTGTCTTTGGACGTAATGCAGTGCTTGGGAAACTACAATCATGGGCGTAGTGTCCAAATTTCTGACACCGATGGCATCTTGCCGCTCGCTTGTGACTCAGAGCGCGAGCGTTCTCGCTCTCGATGTAACAGAGGTCCATTGGTTCGGGACCTCCTGTTTCCTGTCGTCTAGTCGAGCGATAGTTGGACGAGTTAGCCTAGGACTATCTCAGGCCGAAGTCTTCTTGTTTCGCATACGCTATCGCCTTTTTCAGCGTATGGAAGTCCTCTCGGAACATGTAGGTCTTAACCGGACCATCTACTAGACCGTAGATGAGCACGTTGATGAGTGTGTGCTCATCAACAGGGTTTTCCGCTTCGCTACTCGCAAGGTAGCGCAGGTGCTGTGCGTAAGCGTGCACGTCACGCTTACCTTGCTTTAGCCTTAAGAGTGCAGAGATTGCTCTGGACTCGGCTCTCGGCAACTCAAACGTTTCTTTAAGCCGAGACGTTCAGACCTCCAACGCCTCAAACACGTTTGGGCTGTGAAGCTTGACCCCTAAGGCATTAGTCTTTGCTCAACCTCTTAGATTGATAGGGCGAAGGTGACTTGCATCTCGTTACCCTCGATGTGACGGGCCCTTATGGCGTAGTCTAACTCGACGAACCATCTCAAAAGGGATTCTTCATCGGTTCCCTTGTACTTTGAGCTATCTATCTTCAAGGTTTCGGGTTGAGGCATGTGCGCCGGCCCGCCCATCGACTGATGACAGCCTTGCTGTTGTAGCAAGGCTATCTTCTGTCGTTCGACGGCAAGTTCCTCTTGTAGGAACTTGTTGATAGCAGCATGTTGCTGGTCTCTGCTTAGAGAATTCAACATTCTATTGATTGCGGGTTCGCCCATGAGTACACTCATGCGACTGACTATCTCCCATTCTGAGTCACTCAGATGGGAGTAGCCTTCACGTATGAAGTGAAAGCTGTCGTCTTCTACGTCCAACATGTTCATGTTGGACGGACACTAAGTAGTCGTTGGACGGACTACAATTGCTACCAGGTGAAACGGGGCATCCTTGGTTGGGGTGCCGCGAAACTTCACGTACACGAGTACGTTCAGAGATAGCTAATTTGCTCAAACAGCTAGTTTGAGTAAAGGGTATAAAGAGAACTGTATTACATGTAGTTAAGCTATCAACATAACTTTAATCTATATCTAACTATATTAAACTACATTGTCGTAGGACGACAACCTGCTCATCATTCATTGCGTGCGTCTAGCAGCGATTGGTGATAAATTTGGATGAGATGTCTTTACCAACCAATCTTGGAGCAGCGCATGAATTCTATCCTAAAAAGGGGATTATATTCCTTCGATGTTATCCATCTCGGATTATATTGGTAAGGAATTGTCACGCTGGACGACCTCTCTATTAACACCGTTTGGTGTCAATATCATGTGACGGGTTACCCCTTTTATGGGGTATGCTGGGCGGTTTTCCTACTTGGGTGTAGCCCTGTCGGCCTGTATGGGCCCAAAATCACTCTTAGCGGCGACCTTGACGTGACGGATTCCCCCGGTCTCCGTCACCCGACTTTGCCCTGTGTGATAATTCTTGCGCATCTTCGAGAGTGGTCTCGAACCTCAGCTCGAACTTGAACGTGAACCCCAGCTTGACCTTGAACTCTAGCTTGACATTGAATCTGGTCTTGACCACGATCGCAAGCTTGACCTTGTCCTTGACGCTAGCGGTGCGTACATCAATGCAGATTCCAGATGCGGCGGCTGGACTTTAAACTTTCGACAGATGATTGCCTGTTTAGCCGCTTTGCATCTCGCTTCATCATCTCAAGGTGCTTGGTGTAAACTGCAAGGTTACCACCTGCAACAGCACCAAGCGAGCCATAAACCAGCGCCGAAAGAAAACGGTCCAGTCTTGCCGCTCTAGGTGTGGCTTGACGCAGTCGTACTTGGCCTTCTTGAATGCCGCGATCCACGCGAGCGAAGACATCCCAGGGTGAGCTGTCACTTGGTCTTCGAATGCAATTGGCAGGTACAAAAATGACACCGTGCGTGTAGTAGGGTTGTAGACCTGCAAGTCCAGCCGCAATACAGGATTTGGAAGCGAGGGTACCGTTTGATTCACCCTCAGCTCAACCTTTTATTTCTGACCACCCGCCGACGACACTATAGCCCGCTTAATCATCTTCAGGGTGTCGCCGTGGCGGGTGCGGACTGCATCCGTAGTGCCAAAGCAATGGATCAGCACATGTGCCAGTGTCTCAGGCCTTGATCATCCAGGGAACCGGCACTTGTCGTGCGTCCAAGGACGCCGGCGCTTTAAGACACTGTGAGTGTCAAACTGGTTAAGTCGACCACTCACCGAAGCGGTAGTCTCTATCCCAGCGACAACAGGGTCGCGAGAGGAAGGTGCTTCCAGCACCACCAAAATTACGAGCAGCCTTCCCTGGGTCCTTCTTCGCGACCCACATATCCCAGTGCTTGATCTTGAGGTGCAGGTTCACGTGCCAAAAGACATCCCGATATATCAACCAACCATCGTGATGGGGCACGCGAAGCTACAATCTCTTCGCCGCTGTCCACGTCTTCTACACCGCTGGCGTTCCCGTCTTCTCTACCGCTGGCGCCATCTCAAGATTGTGGCCGAAGCGGTGAAGGTGATCCCGGACGTCGAACCACAGCGGTCCGATGTCAGCCTTTCCTCGCTTAAGCGGCACTGGGTCCGACGTCCCCAGCTTGCTGTTGAGGAGGAGCTCGCCCAGCTCCTCCTATCTGTCCCTCCATGCCAAAGCGTCTAGCTTGCATCTTGAGTCAGTTACCTGACTGAGATACTGTCGAGCTATGCACCGGATGGCTGGGTCAGTAGAGTGCAGCATCTGCCACCCGTGCGCAACTTGCAAAGCGCCATGCAGCTCCGTCAAGGGTAAGAACCCTAATCCTCCACGAGAAACAGGAGCGTGAAAGAACGCTGTCGTAGTGCTAGTTAGTAGCCGCAGCAGTTGTCGAAGGCCGCGTACAAGGTGACGGCCAAAACCCTCCAGCTGCTGAGCAAACGGTCTTAGGTGCCGGAGGGTGTACTCAACCCGAGGGTACAAGCACACCTTTACGGTCTTGACCACCTGCCATGCCGCCATCCCGGACTGCATTAGCGCCTTCGCGTCGTGCTTAAGCAGGGTGAGAGCTGTGCCCAGATCAACGCGACGGCGCACGTGGTCGAAGCTATCCCCGATCCTTAAGTACTGGTAGGAGTCGGAGGCGCTGAGCGCGGGGATCGGGGTGCCGTCCAGCTCCAGCCCGAGGTCACTAGTCATGTGTAGACCACGCACATCCCGCTGGACCGACATGGTACGGTTCTTGTGCGGATACGACTTCATGCCTGTCCACCGCAGGAAGTCTTGCACCACCGAGTGCTGTCAATTGATACCGACCACGGTGCTGCTGAATGTCTTCACGTCGTCTGCGTAAGCAGCAGTACCGGGACGGGCTTCGCTTGACAGCTTTACGCCAGTTTACGGCAGCGACTTGAGCACGTGAAGCAGCGGGACGATCGCGGCGGTAAAGAGGTAGGGGCTGAGTGGGCAGCCTTGAAACACCACCACCTTCAACGCAATTGGTGTCGTGGTCCCATCAACAGCGTTACCAATTGTAAACGCTGCGTCTGCGTAGAGACCACGGCAACAAGCGACAAACTCGGTCGAAACACCCTGCCGTTGTAGCGCCTCCCACAGCAAGTTGTGTGGCACACTGCCTAAAGCGTTGGCAAAGTCGTACCACACTACATGCAACTCTTGATGCTTGCGCCGGGCTTGATCGACGAGCATGGCTGCAAGAAAGTTGTGTTCCCCGCAGCCGTTCATGGCTCGAAAGTCCTTCTGCACATCAGCGTGTTGGCCGTTGACGTCAAGCCAGCGCGTAAAGCGACGCGACAAGATACCGGCGTATAACTTGAAGTTGACCTGCTGCAAGCAGATCGACCGCCAATTCAATGGGTCGAGCCGATCGCCCTTCTTGTGCAGCAGGCGCACCACACCCACCTTCCAGCTCTGCGGCACACGCTTCGACTGACAGCAGCGCGCGAACGATGCATGCAGAACGGGTAGAATCTGGGCCGTTTAAACTTTAAAAGACGTGATTGTAGGTCTACAACCACACCTCACGCACGGTGTCGGCTGTAGACCTTGCAGTGGCATTTGAAGAGCAGCCCAACGACGACCCGGGGACGGCTTCGATGTTCCGGACAGCCAAGGCCAAGCGTGACAAGTACGACTGCGTTAAGCGACACCTCGAGCGCCAAGGATGGACCGTTCATCTGTCGGCGCTCGTTTACGACTCGATTAGTGCAGTCGCCGGTGGAAACCTTGCGGTTTACATCGAACACCTGAGGCTGCTCAAGTGCGATGCGATTCGGCTAGACAAGCAGTTGTCTGAAACTTGCATATAGTCCAGACGCCGCAATTTGTTTTGGAGCCTGCATTGCAGTCAGCATCGCGCACGGCAGTACCAGGTGCGCCAAGATCAAGATACAAGGGGCACCCGGGTGACGGAGACCAGGGGGACCCCGTCACGTCACGGTCGCCGCTAGTCGGACTTCGGGCCCATGCTGGCCGAAAGGGGCATACCCAAGTAGGCAACCGCCCTTCAAACCCCTCCGGTACGTTATCGTCTAGCTCTGTGTGGTGCAACCTGTACCTCACTTACACACCACATAGTTTCGATATGGTATTTCGATACCTTTAGAAATGGACTAACCGGACGGTAACACACACACTTGTCGGTTTTAATCAGTGTAAAAATTGGTTTCGGCTTTTGTCGATCTTTTTCACGTTCATTTTTGGACATCCTGTCGAAGTAGCTTACTGCTAAGAAGGGCGGTCTCCGAGGGCCTACACCTTCCTCCCGTGAGGCCAACGATACGCAATCGTTGCACTCGTTCTTTTCTACTTTCGTTCTTTTGTTTGATTTTTACGCCTTTCTGTCCTCTTCACCGGCTCTACACCAACGCATCCCGATGCGCTTCTAAAGGCCGGATTGGCAGCCTCGGGAGCGCTCTCGATCAAGCGATAGTGAGTGCTCCACGGATAGCCATACCAGTCTCGCCAGCGATGCGTCTTTCTATGACGCGTCTGCTGATGACGAGACAGGGCTGGTGGGCGATCCAAAAACATTGTTTCGTTGGTGATGGGTGTCGAACGGGCGACCCCCGACCTAAAAACGGCTAATTCTGGGTTTGGCCATCATCTCGAAGCCGATTGGCCAGAACAGGGAAATGTGATTTCACACCCCTTTTGCCTCCGAATCCGTCGGCGTATGGCCGCCAAGTGGTACCACGCGCGCAGCCACTGCAAGACGGAGAGACATCCCACAACACGGTAAAGTAATTGCGCGTGCAAGGGATTTGCAGGAGGAGCCCTCTAGCGTCGAGGACATTCCCCGCCATTCCTCTTCGGTATCGCGTACTTCGAGTATCGACAAGAGCCTGAAGGACAACCATCCTGGTCACTCGGGCGAAATTTAGTAACATCACCACTACTCCATTCAAGTTTCGTCTACCCCGTGACTACTGGGGGCCAAGACCTCGTTCGACGTCTCCTCTCCGGCACAGACCTACTATTAAGCACTCCGCTCACGCCGTCTTCGCGCCGTTTGGCTTCTTCGGGGTCCTTGCCGTCCCCTTACCGCTTTTTGGTCGAAGAATACTCCCGTTGTTTGTTGCGGCACCCGGCAGGGAGAGCGAAATGCTGCCTGACCGGGTGCAAGACCGAGACGTGCTTGGACTACAGAGCGGCGACTCCCCGGGTGCACAGATGCCTTGACCGGGTCTAACACCGTGTTGGACGTCTTCTGCTAGTCTCCCTCAGCCCCAGGAATCTCGTAAGCCATCTGACGAAGACGCAATTTTTACTTGCACACCCGGCAGGGTGGCAGGCATGCTGCCAGACCGGGTGGAGCTTCCTGACTGTCAGAGCAATGGCTTCCCGGGCACACAGACGCCTTGCCTGGGTCTGACATCGTGCCTGACGACCCTTCACGATCCATCACCAACCTTTACGCGCGCCGTTGGATTACATGACGAAGCTGCGATTGCTTTCACACCTGGCAGGGCGGGCGTTACGCTGCCTGACCGGGTGTTGCTTCCAGAAATGCCAGGACTACAGAGCTTTTTCTCCTAATGTGCTTACAGAATGTCCCTGGTCCTGCCACGTACCCGACGCCTCCCCTCGCTGTCCCTCTCACCCCCTCCACACTTGCCGCCGTTCCTGACCAAAAGCGAAATGATTACGCACCCGACTGGGCGGTCGCATGCTGTTCGCGGGGTCGTCGCTTGTAGCCGCTACTACTCGCGCGCTGGGTGCCTACCACGACCCCAGTGACCCCAACTCCGTCGGCACAAGCGACGAGAAGGGACTCGACGACTCCAGCATTGCCGGAGAGTACTTCTTAAATGCCTATGATGACGATTGGCTTGGCCCGATGGCCGGCGAGCTGCCTGACCAAGCGTGATCCGCTGCAGTGGCCGCGACTCCTCACGAGACTACGCCCACTGCAGTATCTTTATATGTACCATTACCGTTTGACGAACGACTCGACAGGCAGACTCCCATACTGCCTGACCGAGTCGGGTATGGTGAACACGCGTCCGTTGTAGTGGTGTCATGCCCAGTGCCGTTGCCATGGACATGGTATAGGACAACTTCCAGCGCTCTGTCGCCTCATTCATGCCAGGTTTTGCATTGATTAAACCCAGCCTATAACCAGGCAGACGGACCCGGTACTATCGGTATACGCCTACAACGCCTCAGCATTTGGTTGCACGTTGTGTTCGTACACTGCATGTGACATGAGTGTGCTGGCACGTCACCGACGGACGCCTACCGTGGCACCTGCTACGTGGATAACTTTCACAGCGGGTGCACGTGTGGAATCGGTCACAGGACACGTCCAGCTGCAACAAAGCATGCACTCGGGTGTCGCGACAGTCCGTTGTACACCCCTTCGGCTACACGTGGTCTTCCCGTGTTATCTTCGGCTCCCGTGCTTTCTCGTTCCTGTTACGTGATGTCTGCTTTGGCTGACGAGGTGTCCCTTTCACCTACTGGGTTCCTCGTCATGGCTACATCTGTGGGTACAGCAGTTGCGTTAAGCAGCACTGTGCCCGCAGATGTTACCATCTATCAGAGCACCGTGCCTGCCCCAAAAGTTGGCGAACAAGACTGGCACCTGCATGCCCCCACGTGCGGTGCCCATCGACCTCGCCACCCAATATCTGGGTTGCTGGGAAGACCGGTCGCTTAACGGTGCTGAAGATGTGCTTACCAATCCAGACTGGGACATGGGCCCTTTTGCTTCTGTGCATGTCGACCCTGCTCGATACCAGGACGGGGTCATCCATTTTTTGGACATTGTTGGTGATGACGTTTCGGCTTTTCTTGTGGATTTTTCTCGTTTGCTTGTGGATAACGATGCGTCTCGGACTGCGGAGGGTGCTGCTGTCTCCGCTCATCATGCGACGAATGCGGAACTATCCTTAGCTCTGGCAGCGTCCCGACCGATGAACTCTGTCGCGTACAGCACTCGTGCTACGCGATGGGGGCCACGTCACGGCACGATCGGGTCTACTGTGGGTGGCCCACCTGTCGCTTATTTTTGGTTTTTCCTGCTCCTTCTTCTCGGTCAGATGTTCCTCAACCGGTAGAACTATGCTGCGCCCCGACAGACCATGACTCGTTGGGGCCCCCGGTTGGTAGTGACGCAACACATCCTCGGGCGAAGGACTCGCAATAGACGGACACCCTTCGTCGAACGCACTACACCTCCATCTACCTTCCTCTTGATCCTTAACCGCTGGTTTCTCCATTACCCTTACCAATGGTGGATACCGATGATAACCACGAGGTATCTGAGCCCTGGCTTCTACGATTCGACGTTGCTTGCAGACGGAACCCTGGACAAGGGGGTGCTGGTGCCGCTATCTTTGACTCGAGCAGCACCGTGGTGTGGACGCGCTCTCACTTTCTCCCCTCCAGCAGTGAGACGAAAAACACTGCTAAGTACACAGCACTGCTGGTGGGGGTGCAGAGTGCAGTCCGCCATGGTACCACGCGATTGCTCGTTGAAGGAGAAAAGATCTTGGTGCTGGCTCAGACGCGCGGCTCGTTCAGCTGCAACAACCGATGGCTCAGACCTTTTTGCGAGGTCAAGTGTGAAAGGAGTTAACGCGCCTTGACTGGCATCAGCTTCGACATACCGACAGGCAAGCCAATGCCCACGCCGACCGCCTTGCTAACCGTGCGCTTAACCTTCGACGGACTGCCGTGGAGTGTGGCCCTCATTCAAGCGTCTTGGATAGTTGCTTTAGGCCTGCTTCCGCTATGCCAGCTGCTTCTGCACCGCTAGATCCAGCACCTCCTGCTGATAGCTCTTGTGTCGATAGCATGATGGTGCATGCACCCGGTCTTGACATTGAGGCCGAAATTGCTACTCGTGATGGAGTTGAGGTCTTTACTACTCTGTCTATTTGCCCAGGCTCATCTCCCGAGCGGCAACCTTGGCTTCGATTGCGTCAAACGACTGATGCAGAGCACGACTCCGCTGCTGCCGCTATGCAACTGTTTGCTGAAGTCTTGGCGAGCAAGATTGTCGATACTGACAGCTGGGGAACAGACAAGGGATACACCTCTGCCATACCTGACCGCCTTCGGGAAGTCTTTCAGCCGTACTCTGTGGTACATGTCCATGCTGCGCCTCCAAGCCACACTAAGCCACGCTAGAAGCGCCGACGTCCGCCTCGAATGACGCGCACTCAGCGTGAGCACCGGTGCTGACGAGGCGCTTGATGACATGCAGGCAACCCAGCAGGCGGCTCCAGGTGAACCGGAAAGCAGTCCGGAAGGCAAGGCGTCAGGTGGGAAGTGTTCGTGCTTCGATAGCTCAGCTGGACATGCGTTGGGATTTTGCCAAAAACGAAGAAGCCAAGCGCGTGGCCAAGATTTTGGATGGTGCCTTAGCGGAGACTGCGGGTGCCGAGCACCCAGACTCCTGCCCCATCGGCAGGGAGTATCTCCACCGTCATTTTATGGGCATCTGTACGGCCCCATCTCCCTTTTAACTACGATGCTGCTAAAGTTCACGAGTTAAACGCCGTGCTTAATAGTTAAATGATAAAAGCTTGATGCGGTGATTGTCTCGATGGAGAAATTTCGATGGATGAAGTGAAAGTACAGATATTGCGGGCTACCAAGGCATCCAGTCCCAGTCATGATGGGGTTGGATATGATGTTTTTCGCCGGTTTGCCCCGCAATTGGTATCCCTTCTGCATACCGCGTACCACTTCTGTTGGCTGCATCGGTTGGTGCCTTCTCTGTGGAAGGTGGTAATCGTTCGCCTGGTCCACAAAAGGCTGACCCGATGCAGACGAGCAACTGGCGGCCGATATGCCTGCAGCCTGCGATTTACACTCTACAGCGGGCTGTTGGCGCATCGGTTATCGTGCTGGCTACTACTGAACAACCCGTTGCCGATGGCGCAGAAGGGGTCTTGACCTTTCAACGGTTGTCACGAACACAATTTTGTGGCAACCACGGTGTTGGATCAGTCTCGGCGGTCGCACCGGAAATTGTACCAAGTATGGTACGAACTACGGAACGCCTTCGGTTCTCTATCCCAGGCTCTCATGTGGCGTGTGCTCCGCTGTATAATAGTTGAGCCCAGGTTTAATAACCGTTGCCAGGACACCTACCGTGAGTCAACATTCGTGGTAGTGAATGCGAAGGACGGTGCGACCGAATAAAAGCAAATAAAAGTGTGTGTCTACCAAGGTTTATTTTGAGTTCTCTCCTGTTTATCGCGACGCTGGTCCCGTTGTTGCGTCGCCTTGAGCAGCTTGAGGATGTCGGTGTGCCACTGGCGAACGGTGTGCGTCCGTGCACCACCTCCTATGCGGACGACAAAAAAAAGATCAGCAACAGCTCCGACGGTATTCACCGAAGCCATGGTGTGGTGCAGCGTTTATTTCAGTGGACGGGTCTGCGAGCAAATCCTGCCATGTGTGCCAGCCTTGCTGCTCCTACTAATGCCCGTGGCAACCACGTCCGTGATGACAGTGTCCGATTATAAGTGCAAGGTGATTTCATCACCCCACTTACCCTCAGTAAAAGCTATCGCTATCTCAGGGTGAATGATGGGTTTGATCATGTCCAGCACCTCCTTCAGCTTGAACCCAAGTTGCAACAAATCACAAGAGAGGCAAATGCTCTAATGCAGTCTGGTTTGGCAGCTTGGCAAGTGGTGAAGGAGCTCAAGACTGATGTATGTCTTAAGATGTGTACGCGCTTCGCCACTTGCGACCACTCCAGTCTCAGCTTGAAGGATTTGACTGTGCCGTAAAACGTGGACTACGCCACCTACTTCGCCTGCCGCAGTGTTCCACCAATGAGTTCTACTATGCGCCTACTTCTAGTGGTGGACTGGGCCTGCAGTCTCTGGTAGAGATGCACCAAGCGCTGCAGGTGGCACACGCGTGGCAGATGCTGCACTTTAAGGACCCAGCGATTGTAGCAGTGGCGACGGCCCAGGTGTGTCAGATTGCACGCAAACGCTACCGCCTCATTGAAGTCACTGGACGGATCAAGACGACGAGCTCATAAATTTATTTCTGAATGCCGAGCTTACGTCGTCTCCCCACGCCACTGAACATCGCAAGTCGGGGATATTCGTGTCGCTTTGGGTGGACATACAGCGGGTGCTGAAAGCTCTCCATATCAGCTATATGGACCGCGCGGTTAAGTGTTGCGCCATGCCCACTGGCTTGACCACAACTCAGTGTTGCGGCACGTAAAATTGCAAGTGAAGTTTCGACAACAAACTCGGTGGAAGAGTCTGGTCGACCTGAGCAGGACGACCCGGGTGCATGGTGGCCCCGGGTCCAAGTTTGTGATGTAGGGTGTGGGTCTGTCAAATGCTGAACACCGGTTTGGCATCCACGCCCGGCTTAATCAAGTGGACACGAACTCGGTGCTGAAGCCTTGCCACATCCGAGCGAATGCTCATTGCAGGCAGTCGAACTGCTCGAGTGCTGAGACGTTGGCACACGTTATAAATCATTGTGCCTCCAACTTGGATTCCATCCGCCAACGTCACGATACTGCGCTCGAGCAGATTGGTAATGTGATAAGACAAGCCCTGCTTCGGACCAAGTCGGGTGCAGAGTTACAACTGAATCAGACAGTACCTGAGTATACCAGTACGGCTCTGCGCCCGGATTCTGTGCTGCGGGACGTGGATGCTTATAATATGGTGATAGCTGACATGGCCGTCACGCTTAAGCTCATTCTGCTGGGCTCGCCACTCCTTGCCAAAAGCCAGACATGACTTCAAGCTGCTGAAGTACAAGCTAATTGCTGATGAGCTTAGGTTGAAGGGGTGTAAAGTGGAATCTTCAGCGATTGTATTTGGCTCACTGGTCTCGGTCCAAACGATTAATTTCAGTACCTACACGGATAAGATGCACCTGCTCAAGCGTGATGCTCGTCGGCTAGATCTTCGACTTTCTAGTCACTGTGTTTGTACTAGCTGCCGGATCTGGAATTGGCACTGCAAGCAACACAGGGATCGACAACGGTGTGGGCAGCTGCACGACTGACTCGCAGGTCTGGGGGACACAGCGGGCTACTCAGCCGCCATGTGCAAAGTGAGATGCTGGTCTGAACGACCTACAGGGCACTATACAGGTAGGACACCACCCACAAAACCCAGGTAATTTCCATTAGACCCTCTAATTAGTGACATGCGTACTAACCATTTTCTGTAGTCGTGGAGAGGTCATTGAATGGTAATACACACAACCCGTCTATTATAATTCAGTGTGAAAACTGGTTTTCGACTTTTGTCGGTCTTTTTCACATTCATTTTTGGACATCCTGTCGAAGTAGCTTGCCGCTAAGACGGGGCGGTCTCCGGGGCTTACACCTCTCTCCCGTGAGGCCAACTTACATTTAACTTTTCAACAGCTTTTGTATATTGTATTGTCATGATTACTTTACATCATTCACAACGTACACACGCTATCAACATACACGCGTGCAGCACCAAAAACCGACGTTAGATTCCTAGTATTGTTGCCGTATTTCATTGTTCCGAATATCACCTTTACTTTACGAATTTAATGTAGTATTCAAATTCCTATTGTCATCATTCGCTATTGTATCGACAACGTTGCTTTCTGTTATCTGTATCGCTTTCAAGCCATACCTTCTCGGCTTTTCAGCTAAGATCAAGTGTAGTACCTGTTCGAATGAGTGTGAGAACTGGTTTCAAACTTGGTCGGTCTTTTCACATTTGTTTTTTGAGTGCCTGTATAAGTAGCGATACTTAGTCAGGATGGTCTTCGAGTGGCTTACACCTAACCCTCGTGAGGCCGACTACGACTAGACTTTATTCTACTTTAGTTCGTTCTATCTTTTAGTTAGTTCTTTACCATTCGTCCACCTGTACGTTCTGCTCTGGCCTTTCTACTTTCGCACGTTCTATGCAAATTTGGTGGCCGGGTTGGGAGCCCCGAGAGCGCTCTCTAACAAGGGACAGTGAGTGCTCTACGGAGAGCCATTCCAGTCTCGCCAGTAATGCGTCTGTCTGTTGCAAGGTGGTTGCCGTGGTGCCTGTGATTGTTGCAGCATCTTGAGGTGCTACAGAACTCCAATCACGATGGCCGGTACTGGGGTCAACACGCTCGAGCGGGCCTTCAGTTGCAACAGGAATCTATACCACATAAGTGGGGTAACATCGAAGGCACATCAAGACCTTGGATGACGAAGGTAAGACCGATGTGCGTACATGTGTAGGAAGAAGACAAGTAAGGAAAACGAGGCGGGTAGCGCCAAGTTAGTCATTCCCAAAACTACTAAGTCGTCAATAAAGCCGAGTTTCACACTAACCAGTTGTCACCCCTTTAACTGTGTATAGAAACTCGCAACAGATTCTGAGCCCAAGAGCTTAGCGCTGAGACTTTGACGCTCTATAGCGTTAGGTCCGAGGAACTCGTCCTAACGAACCTAGCTTCGGCTTTGGCACGCACGCATATGGCAGCAGCAGGGATTTCGACGAGGAGGTGTCTCCAGCGTCGACGCTGTAGCCACTAGCGCAGTCAATTGCTGCGGTACAGGATGAGCTTCGGGTGATGCGCGGTCAAGTGCGTCCTGCTGGCGCCGGCCAAGATGCCAACATCGAGCGCTTCCAGCGGCAAGTCGACGGTCTGACGGCTCAAATGGGTCAGATGCGTCTGGATATACCTGTGGGACCTACATTAGGTGGAACTGGTGGAGCAGGTGGGGGGGAACCTCGCCATTCCTCAGACGTGAGTATGCCGGCAGCGTCACCAGGTACGTCATACTCTGTGGCGCCTGCATTTCATATGACAAGCCGGCCACCGAACATTAAGGCTCTTACGTGTGAGCGATTCGACGCCAAGCAACGCAATCCCGGACAGAGCCTCGGATTCAATTTTGAAGACTTTGAGCAACGTTGGCAGCACGCGATTGCAACCGATATCGCTTTCTACGGCAGCATCTGGACAGACTATCTGAAGATGATGCTGATGGTAAAGTTCATGGCCGCCAGGCTGGCCAAGCTGTTCTACGACAGTTAAGAAATCTGGAAGGTTGAAATTTCCGTGTTCTCGTACAAGGATTGTAAGCAAAAGTACCCTTACCAGTACGGATTTCGCCTAAGTGGTCCCGAACTCGTCGACCGCCTGCGTGAGCCAAAGAAGGAACACTACATATGGCTAGATTACGCAGAATACCTGCTGGAAGTAGGGAGACTACTGAATGCGGACGACCGTCTGGTATTGGAAACTTTTGCACTGTACGCATGTCCTGAGGATAAGTCGACAGTTAACGTTTTGGTCAACCTCAACGCCACAAATCCTCGACCTGAACTGGATCAGGCACTCGAGCTTTTGAACCGTGTGAAGGGTGATGGCGTGTTGAATGACAAGAGTCACAATGTCTCTGGCAACAGGACGCATGTGAAGAATGAAAAGAAAATCAAGATCGACTTTACCAGGACACGACACCATAAACAAGGTTCAGCTAATATTAACGTGGGAGAAGGACGTCAATGTTTTCTATGCAACAAGACTGGCCTAAATAAAAGGTGTTGTATAACAGGCGTCGCCAGCAAGACACGGTGGCCTAAGTTCGAGAAAGTCAAGGAACACTTTACGCTGTCAGCACGACTATCACAGGTGCAGATAACATTCCTGTCGCGTCATGCTGGACAGCCCAAGGTAACCAAGTGCCAGCAAACCAACATACCAGGTGGCTGCTCGACTTTGAAGCAAGCCACCACATCACGAACGACCACACGATTTTACAAGGTGCGCGGTCCTGCTGCTTAGACGTTACAGTTGCAAACAAGATGGTCACCCGTGCGACTAAGGTTGGTGACGTGACTATCAACCTATTCGTTGATGGGTATGTGCGAAAAATAACTGTCAAGGATGCTCATCACATCCCATCAGCAAGCGTTAATATTTTCTCAGTATCGAAACTGGCAGAGCATGGTGTCATGGTTGAATTCACTGAAAGTGGCGCTACAGTACGTGAGAAGCCGAATGCTGATGGACAACAAAAAATGGTGGCCAAATGACCCTGGATCCGCGGATTGTGCTACCTCGTGAAGACTCCTGTTGAGTTAGGTACAGTCAATGTGGCAAACATGACGGCTGATGCTCTGATGGGATGGCACAAGCGACTAGGTCATCTGAATACGACCGATGTGATGCGAATGAAAACCATGACATTGTGAGCGGAACGCGTGTCACAAACAAGAAAGTCCTCCCGTGCGACGTATGCATCGAGGCCAAACGATCGCGATCTATCAAGTCAAGTGCTGATACCGCAACACAAGCACCCACGGACGAAGTTGGTGCAGTACTACGTAAGACCTAAAGATTCACCTAAAACTAAGCGACTGGCAAGGTAATGAACATGTGCTACACATCGTGGATCACGCCAGCAATTATGGTGACGTCTTTTCCATAAAGACCAAAGACCAGTGGTTACCGCTACTCATTCAGTTTATAACGCAGTTCGAGCGACAACATGCACTTACAGTCAAGGTTATTCGTGGTGACGGCGAATTTGAGACGAAAAAGATGCGCACGTGGACCAGTGAACATGGGGTTCAAACGCAATTTACGGAAACTGATGAATCATCGTCGAATGGCAAGGTTGAGCGACGCCATCGAATCACATTAAATTGCACGAGAGCGGTCATGTTCGACACTCCAGGTGCTCCAAAAACAATATGGTTTGCTGCATTGAAGCATATATCGTGGTTGTCGAATCATCTCACATTACGAGCCAATCCAGGGGGAGTCTCACCGATCGAAATGCTGAACCGACGCAAACCAAACTTGTCGACAGTCATGCCGTGGGGACAACTTGTCAGCACACATATCAAGCGTGATACCATGGGCACACACACCAAGGATGAAGAAGGCATCTTTACTGGGTATGATGTTGAGCGGAAAGTTTTCATGGTGCACTCCAAGAAGTCTCGGAAAGTAATTATAACGCAACACGTAAGAATCATCCATCGGTCACCAGAATCCCACTCGATACAAGCACACGAGACCGGTGAAACTGAAAAAAGGACGTTCGCACTGTATTCAGCTTACTCACTACACTAATCGGCGAGGCGATTGATGAAGCAGAGGATCCTGCTGATATTGATTATGAATCCCTTGTACGGAACGTGCAAGTACCACCGACCCAAGCGTCAGATACGGGTACCACAACTGGTTCTTCACAGGCGCCTATTGTAACAAGGCGAAGCAGTCGATCTCATCGTATCCTAGCAAGGTCATGTGACGACATTGAAGGGACTCAGACCGGTGCCAAGATTTTAGTAGTCCAGAAGTATCGGTTAGAAGCGACATTGGATGCGACATTATCCCAAACGCGATCGCCAAATAAGTAAGATCACTCCGAGCAAGGATCTTTATATGCATCCTATCCAGTCACGGACCCAGTCAATCGACGACAATCAATCGAATCCCCAGTGTGCGATCAATAAAAAACAGCGATCAAGACCGAGTTGGAAGCTCTGATTGCGAACCAAACGTGGGAGGTAGTAAATCGCCCTTCGGACGTCAATGTTGTATCAAGCAAATACGTTTTCAAGGTTAAACGCGACCACACGGGTTCCATCGAGCGTTTCAAGGCTCGTCTCGTCGCACGTGGCTTCTCACAAGTTCATGGAGTGGACAACGAAGAAAATATTTTGCGGTGTTTTGGATCGGCAATGTATTCTTTCTGTTCGCAGTTGCGAGCATCTGCGACTTATTCGTCGTGCTGGCTGATGTTCCTAACGCATCTGTGAAAGAAACAATTAAGGAAAAGGCATACATAAAGCCACCTCCGGAACTCGATTTACCACAAGACAAGGTGTTACGTTTGATAAAGCCAGTGTGTGGCCTCAAGCAGTCTGGTTGATGCTGGAACGACAGCATTAAAATTATCTTGCGTCGATATAGTTTCGTCGGTGCACTTCGACTCGTGTAACTACGTTCTACACGCTGAAGATTGATACATACTACTTGATTTATGTGTGGATGACATTTTGATGGCCGGTTTGATACCAGACATCATAAAACGAGTGACACATCTACTGCTCAATCGCTACGAGATCAAGTCTGGCCCAGCAGAGTAGTTCCTGGGGATAAACAGTACGGACAATAGCCGTTTTTTCTACTTCTCACAGCAACGCGTGGTGGACGAGCTCCTCGTTCGCTTCAATATGGAACTCTGCAAACCAGTTGGAACTCCAACGGATAACAACATCACCTACAATATCGTCGACGATCAGCTACATGATGATGTGCGTGGATGCCGAGAAGCAATCGGACGAATTCTTCGGATGGCCAATATACATAGAACAGATATCTCATATACAGTCAGTATTGCGGCGCGACACCGTAAAGAACCGAGGGACTGCCACTGGCAACTCGTGAAAACGAAGTACCAGATACCTCAATGGCACTGGCAACTCGTGGAAAGAATTATCAGATACCTGAAGGGCACTCGTGATCCAGGCATTGTGCACTATAAAGAAGTCACACCTCTCAACCTCAAGAATTTCGGTGTCGCAATTTGGTCATACGCAGACTGGGCCGGAGATAAGCTCGACCAGAAGTCAACTAGTGGTTCTGCACTTACTTACTGCTAACGGACGACTCGTGACTTGGTCATCTCGCAAACAACCTGTGGTCGCACTTACAACCACGGAGGCTGAATTCATCGTGGGAGCTCAAGCGGCTTCTGAGTGCGGCTAAATTCGTCAACTCATTCAAGACAATTTCATGATTAAGATGACGCCGCACCTACAGGTAGACAACAAGATTGCTATAAAGAGTACCAAGAAAAAGGTGGTGTCGAACGCGTCAAGACACATTTCTATTCGCTTCCACTTTATTCGTGACGAGCATGCAAACGGTCGAGTCGAGATTAAATGGTGTGCATAGGCAAATCAGCTTGCTGATTTATTCACAAAGCCACTCACGCGGGTAGTTTTCACTCGTCTTCGATAGTCGTTGGGTCTCGTCCAGCAATAGCAGCGTATTGATCCAGAGGAGTGTTGCAAGGTGGTTGCCGTGGTAGATGTAATTGTTGCAGCATCATTAGGTGCTACATCGCTTTAACCACGATGACCGGTGCTGGGGTCAACACGCTCGAGCGGACCTTCAGTTGCAACAGGAATCTATACCACAGAAGTGGGGTAACATCGAAGGCACATCAAGACCTTGGATGACGAAGGTAAGACCGATGTGCGTACATGTGTAGGAAGAAGACAAGTAAGGAAAACGAGGCGGGTAGCGCCAAGTTAGTCATTCCCAAAACTACTAAGTCGTCAATAAAGTCGAGTTTCACACTAACCAGTTGTCACTCCTTTAACTGTGTATAGAAACTCGCAACACTTTCAATGACGCATCATCTGTCGCAGAGACTGATTTGGGTGACGAAACGCTTCCTCTTTCAGATGACACGCAAACATTCATTGGCGAAGAGGCGGGACAGTCTGATTTAAGACTGTTCCCAGACGGTTGTACCACCGCCTATCCGCATGCGGTGGGACGAAACTGCCTGGGAACATTCGCCGTCGGACTAGGGTTGGGGGTACCAAATTTTACCCCCAATGTCCACACTGCGCCGCCCGGTAATGGGCCCTGCGCGGGTGTACGTGCGACACCGCCTCGCGGCGGTGACGCGGAGTTAGGTGCCGCAACTTCGGGCCCGGGTTTGGAATCCGCGTCGCCTAGGGCAGACCAAGCGTCAGCGCGCGCCGAATTCTCTGGCGCGCACGAGGCCCCCCGGTCTCCAGTCTTGGTTTTGGGTACCGTCGATGACCGGGAAGAGGCCCAGCGGTCTCCCCCCCCCGTTGGTACCAGTGAAGGAAACTTCGGACCTATACTTGATCTCAGTATAGGGGTCGACGATGTTAGCGAAAATAATCAAGACAACGCGCCGGGGGGCCTCGCCCCAAGCCGGCTTCGACTCAGCCGACCCTGCAGGGGTCTCGAGTGCAGCATACGCCTTCTCCGCATGCCTATTAGCTTCGTGCATCTCTCCGCGTGCCTGCTCGCCCGCCGCGGCCCCCAAGACTGAAGAGCGGTTGTTGGCGTACCCGGCAGGGCGGTCGTTACGCTGCCCGACCGGGTATCGCTTCAATACATGCAGAATATGCAGAGCGACGGCTCTACGGGTGCCAACAGGGTGTACGAGGGTTCTACGACACGCGAACGGGCTCCCCCGCCCTCCCAACCGCCGCAGAGACCCCCGTAGCCGCCCAGGACCCCGCGACTGTTGCTGCTAGACACAGCAGGGCGGCATAATTGCTGCCCAGCCGTGGTACCGATGGGCTCACGCTTGTAGTCTTTACTTCTCGCGTCCTAGGTTCCACTCGTGGCCCTGGAGACCCTGAGGACGACAGCAGCAGCAACCACGAGGTCTCGGACGGTGACGAAGACGCTACCACCGCCGCAAGTGACGACGAACGGTTTGGACAGGTAGCTATGGATCTGCCCGCCCGAGCTGGATACACTGCAGTGGCCACGGCCCACACCATAGACACGACCACCACCGCTTACGAGGCCGTGTCCACTGCAGCATTTTTTATGAGGTTGTCTATGTCCCGCGTACCTTTGACGACCAGCTCGGCTGGCAGACACCCATACTGTCCGACCGAGCCGGGTATGACGATCCGGTGCCTTGCTGCAACGAGTTGTCTTCTGGGACCTGCCCCCAAGTTGATGATTTTACACCCGGCAGGTCGGGTAGCATGCTGTCTGCTGGGCCCTGCCCCCAAGTTGATGATTTCACACCCGGCAGGGTGGGTAGCATGCTGCCCGCGAGTGATGCACAGGCTCCCGCCACGACCGCTGCCGTCCCTATGGAGGTTGACCAGTGCGCGATGCGTCAGGCAGCAAGCCACACTCCGCCGTCTCCCCCTCTCGTGCTCCGCCTCGGCGGCAAGCGTCGCCGCTTGAGCGATGACGGCGACGACGACCCGCGCGAGCAAGACGAGCAACTGCTGCTCGAGGACGTTGAGGCCGGCCCTCAGAACTTAGCCCTTTGGCCATCCACGGCCAGCGCACTCCCGTCCTCCGTCCTGTCCGCGTAGGCACACAACGCGCAGCGCTTCACGTGCACGCTGTGTGCATACACGGCCTCAAGCTTTGCCTCGCTAAACCGCCACCGGGACTCAAGTCAACCACCGCATCGCCTTCTTTGACCGCTTCACGGCAGGTTTGCATGCGGCACGCCTTTCGTGTCGAGGCTGGCTGCAGCTAACCACGCTCGAGCGTGCGCTAGTCTCCGCGACACTTTGGCTGCGACTACGCCAGCAGCAGGGGATCTCAGCTCCACTGCTGTGAAGTCGATGCCTGCGCTACGGTGGCCGACACCGAACCCGTGCTGCCCCGCCAAGACCCTCCGGTGCTCGCTGTGTCCCCTCCGGAGTCGAGCATCACGCATGACAGGTCAACAGAGTCAAGATGGAGCCCGCCGCTCCCGATGCAGCTGGTCACTTCTCGCGTTGCGTCTCGCCTTGGAGACATCCCTGCCCCACGTGGGGGACCACCACTGCCTCGCAGCGTGGTGGTGTCAAGGATTGCCGACCGTCTCCCCCGCCAGAGCTAACGGAGGAGGAGGACAAAAAGGATGACGACAGCGATGGCGAGGACATCAACGACGACCCATACATGGACGGCGAGCGGCCGCTACGCTTTGGCGGTGCCTGTCGGGCAAACCCTGGCCCTGGCCCTGGCGGCGCCAGCGCTGCGCTGTTTGAGTCCAGTGGCCACGTAATGTGGATGTGCACGGCCGATTACACCGCGTTGCTGCTCGGCATACGGGCTGCCGCCGACCATGGTGTCACGCGCCTGCGGATTAAGGGTGACAGCACGCTTGTCATCCAGCAGGTGCGTGGCATCTTCGCCACGCGTAACAAGAGTCTCCGGCAACTGCGCATCGCGGTCAAGGCAGAGCAGGTGCAGATAGAGCCGGCCACGCTCCATCCCATCGACAGGCAGACAAATGGTCATGCCGACCGCCTGCCAACGCCGCTCTTGACCGCCGCACGACCACGTTGGAGTGCGGAGTGCACACCGATGGACGTGGATGCACCTCCACATCCACGACCTCCCCTGTACCCGCACCTGAATCTCCGCCTGCCACGCCGTATGTCGCGGTGGGCACCGATGTCCCCCCAAGCCCCACCGATGATGATGACATGGGGGACACCAATGATGGCGAGGTGTATGCAGCGATGAGTGTGGGGCCTGATGCATTGCCTCAAGCGGATCGCGACTGCGCCTTCGCAGGTCGGACGAGGATGAGCAAGAGGCTGCGTTCAAGTTGGTGGAGCGGCTAGCTGCCAAGATTATGGACTCTTATGACTGGGAGGAGGCAGAAAGCTACATCACAGCCCTCCCTTATGCACTGTACGATCAACCGCTGACTTAATCCCAGACACAGCACCCCGCCCGACCTCGTCCGCATCGCCCGCAGCAGCACCAGCAAGACAAACATGCGTCCTGACATACGACAGGAGCCACACCAATTTCAAGCGCAGGTCGTTCTGCAAGACGGTAAGCGCCAAGATGGTAGCCGTTCACGTCGTTGCCGTGGTCACTATAGTGGTGGCAAGGGATGCCGGCGCACGCGTCCGTCCCGTGTGACACTTCATTACCATGAGCACCGGCTTGACGAGGATCTGGACGCCATGCATGCTGTCCAGCGCAGCAGGCCAGGCAACCGCAACATTGTGGTCAAGGCACGTCGCCGTGTGGGGAGGATCAACACCTCCATTTCCGAGCAACGCCTCCGCCACCTTTTCGCCACTTCGGAGAAGGTGTGTGCTGAGAGCATCCCGGCGACGGCTCGGTCCAAGCGCGAGGCAGATGAGGCTGCGACTACGCCATCTAGTACCGCTGCGCCTCCGCCGGACTGTGTGGATATAGATGAAGGCTGCACCAGTTCTTCACGGCTGTGAACACCCCGGTGGGTGCCTTCAACCCCATGACGCCATTCGGAGCCTCACTCCACACGGCCATGGACCGCCTGACTCCAGCGACCGTTGACATGGCACTGCTCACGGATGCGCCGTCGTCACATGAGATCGAGGACCAAGTGCAGCGTGCGCGTGGGAGTTCAAGCCCCGGCCTGGACGGTGTCGGCGTCCGGCTGCAGCGCAGGGCCGGGGAGCGAGGGTTCCGTTTGGTTGACCCTTAGCTCAACCGGGTCCGTCTTGTTGCCGGACTCTAAAGCATTGGCTAGCTCAATGTTTTTGAGGGCTTCGTCGTGGCGTCCGCGAATGGTTTCCACAGTTCCCGCGCAGTGGTTGAGCACATGCGCGAGTGTCTCCGACCACGAGCATCCTAAATGCCCGCACTGGTCATGAGCCTGGAGACGCCTGCGCTTGAGCACACTGTGCGTGTCGAGCTGGTTGAGTCGACCGGCCACCGCAAAGAGGTAGTCGGTGTCCCACAACCCGCGGGGTGCGGTAGAATGCCGCTCCCAGCACCCACAAGGGTGCGAGTGGACTTTCTTTGGTCCGACCTCGCGGCCCGAAGCTTCCAGTGTTTGTAGTTTAGGTGCAGCTTCACGTGCCGAAGGACATGTCAATGTCCTAGCCAACCATCGTGATAGGGCACGCGAAGCTGCAACCTCTGCGCCGGCGTCCCCGTCTCCTCCACCGCTGGCACCATCTCAAGCTTGAGGCCGAAGCGGTGAAGGTGATCCCGGACGTCGAATCACAGCGGTCCGATGTCAGCCTTTCCTCGCTTAAGCGGCACTGGGTACGACGTCCCCAGCTTGCTGTTGAGAAGGAGCTCGCCCAGCTCCTCCTCTCTGTCCCTCCATGCCAAAGCGTCTAGCTTGCATCTTGAGTCAGTTACCTGACTGAGATACTGTCGAGCTATGCACTGGATGGCTGGGTCAGTAGAGTGCAGCATCTGCCACCCGTGCGCAACTTGCAAAGCGCCATGCAGCTCCGTCAAGGGTAAGAACCCTAATCCTCCACGAGAAACAGGAGCGTGAAAGAACGCTGTCGTAGTGCTAGTTAGTAGCCGCAGCAGTTGTCGAAGGCCGCGTACAAGGTGACGGCCAAAACCCTCCAGCTGCTGAGCAAACGGTCTTAGGTGCCGGAGGGTGTACTCAACCCGAGGGTACAAGCACACCTTTACGGTCTTGACCACCTGCCATGCCGCCATCCCGGACTGCATTAGTGCCTTCGCGTCGTGCTTAAGCAGGGTGAGAGCTGTGCCCAGATCAACGCGACGGCGCACGTGGTCGAAGCTATCCCCGATCCTTAAGTACTGGTAGGAGTCGGAGGCGCTGAGCGCGGGGATCGGGGTGCCGTCCAGCTCCAGCCCGAGGACACTAGTCATGTGTAGACCACGCACATCCCGCTGGACCGACATGGTACGGTTCTTGTGCGGATACGACTTCATGCCTGTCCACCGCACGAATTCTTGCACCACCGAGTGCTGTCAATTGATACCGTCCACGGTGCTGCTGAATGTCTTCATGTCGTCTGCGCAAGCAGCGGCACCGGGCCGGTGTTCGCTTGACAGCCTCACACCAGTTTCCGCAAGCGACTTGAGTGCGTGAAGCAGCGGGACGATCGCGGCGGTAAAGAGGTAGGGGCTGAGTGGGCAGCCTTGAAACACCACCACCTTCAACGCGATTGGTGTCGTGGTCCCATCAACAGCGTTACCAATTGTAAACGCTGCGTCTGCGTAGAGACCACGGCAACAAGCGACAAACTCGGTCGAAACACCCTGCCGTTGTAGCGCCTCCCACAGCAAGTTGTGTGGCACACTGCATAAAGCGTTGGCAAAGTCGTACCACACTACATGCAACTCTTGATGCTTGCGCCGGGCTTGATCGACGAGCATGGCTGCAAGAAAGTTGTGTTCCCCGCAGCCGTTCATGGCTCGAAAGTCCTTCTGCACATCAGCGTGTTGGCCGTTGACGTCAAGCCAGCGCGTAAAGCGACGCGACAAGACACCGGCGTATAACTTGAAGTTGACCTGCTGCAAGCAGATCGGCCGCCAATTCGATGAGTCGAGCTGATCACCCTTCTTGTGCAGCAGGCGCACCACACCCACCTTCCAGCTCTGCGGCACACGCTTCGACTGCCAGCAGCGTACGAACGCTGCATGCAGAGCGGGCAGAAGCTGGGCCGTGAACATCTTGAAGATGTCGTAGCCAACACTATCCAGGCCGGGGCTTGAACTCCCACGCGCACGCTGCACTTGGTCCTCGATCTCATGTGACGACGGCGCATCCGTGAGCAGTGCCATGTCAACGGTCGCTGGAGTCAGGCGGTCCATGGCCGTGTGGAGTGAGGCTCCGAATGGCGTCATGGGGTTGAAGGCACCCACCGGGGTGTTCACAGCCGTGAAGAACTGGTGCAGCCTTCATCTATATCCACACAGTCCGGCGGAGGCGCAGCGGTACTAGATGGCGTAGTCGCAGCCTCATCTGCCTCGCGCTTGGACCGAGCCGTCGCCTGGATGCTCTCAGCACACACCTTCTCCGAAGTGGCGAAAAGGTGGCGGAGGCGTTGCTCGGAAATGGAGGTGCTGATCCTCCCCACACGGCGACGTGCCTTGACCACAATGTTGCGGTTGCCTGGCCTGCTGCGCTGGACAGCATGCATGGCGTCCAGATCCTCGTCAAGCTGGTGCTCATGGTAATGAAGTGTCACACGGGACGGACGCGTGCGCCGGCATCCCTTGCCACCACTATAGTGACCACGGCAACGACGTGAACGGCTACCATCTTGGCGCTTACCGTCTTGCAGAACGACCTGCGCTTGAAATTGGTGTGGCTCCTGTCGTATGTCAGGACGCATGTTTGTCTTGCTGGTGCTGCTGCGGGCGATGCGGACGAGGTCGGGCGGGGTGCTGTGTCTGGGATTAATTCAGCGGTTGATCGTACAGTGCATAAGGGAGGGCTGTGATGTAGCTTTCTGCCTCCTCCCAGTCATAAGAGTCCATAATCTTGGCAGCTAGCCGCTCCACCAACTTGAACGCAGCCTCTTGCTCATCCTCGTCCGACCTGCGAAGGCGCAGTCGCGATCCGCTTGAGGCAATGCATCAGGCCCCACACTCATTGCTGCATACACCTCGCCATCATTGGTGTCCCCCATGTCATCATCATCGGTGGGGCTTGGGGGGACATCGGTGCCCACCGCGACATACGGCGTGGCAGGCGGAGGTTCAGGTGCGGGTACAGGGGCGGTCGTGGATGTGGAGGTGCATCCACGTCCATCGGTGTGCACTCCGCACTCCAACGTGGTCGTGCGGCGGTCAAGAGCGGCGTTGGCAGGCGGTCGGCATGACCATTTGCCTGCCTGTCGATGGGATGGAGCGTGGCCGGCTCTATCTGCACCTGCTCTGCCTTGACCGCGATGCGCAGTTGCCGGAGACTCTTGTTACGCGTGGCGAAGATGCCACGCACCTGCTGGATGACAAGCGTGCTGTCACCCTTAATCCGCAGGCGCGTGACACCATGGTCGGCGGCAGCCCGTATGCCGAGCAGCAACGCGGTGTAATCGGCCGTGCACATCCACATTACGTGGCCACTGGACTCAAACAGCGCAGCGCCGGCGCCGCCAGGGCCAGGGCCAGGGTTTGCCCGACGGGCACCGCCAAATCGTAGCGGCCGCTCGCCGTCCATGTATGGGTCGTCGTTGATGTCCTCGCCATCGCTGTCGTCATCCTTTTTGTCCTCCTCCTCCGTTAGCTCTGGCGGGGGGATACGGTCGGCAATCCTTGACACCACCACGCTGCGAGGCAGTGGTGGTCCCCCACGTGGGGCAGGGATGTCGCCAAGGCGAGACGCAACGCGAGAAGTGACCAGCTGCATCGGGAGCGGCGGGCTCCATCTTGACTCTGTTGACCTGTCATGCGTGATGCTCGACTCCGGAGGGGACACAGCGAGCACCGGAGGGTCTTGGCGGGGCAGCACGGGTTCGGTGTCGGCCACCTTAGCGCAGGCATCGACTTCACAGCAGTGGAGCTGAGATCCCCTGCTGCTGGCGTAGTCGCAGCCGAAGTGTCGCGGAGACTAGCGCACGCTCGAGCGTGGTTAGCTGCAGCCAGCCTCGACACGAAAGGCTTGCCGCATGCAAACCTGCCGTGAAGCGGTCAAAGAAGGCGATGCGGTGGTTGACTTGAGTCCCGGTGGCAGTTTAGCGAGGCAAAGCTTGAGGCCGTGTATGCACACAGCGTCCACGTGAAGCGCTGCGCGTTGTGTGCCTACGCGGACAGGACGGAGGACGGGAGTGCGCTGGCCGTGGATGGCCAAAGGGCTAAGTTCTGAGGGCCGGCCTCAACGTCCTCGAGCAGCAGTTGCTCGTCTTGCTCGCGCGGGTCGTCGTCGCCGTCATCGCTCAAGCGGCGACGCTTGCCGCCGAGGCGGAGCACGAGAGGGGGAGACGGCGGAGTGTGGCTTGCTGCCTGACGCGTCGCGCACTGGTCAACCTCCATAGGGACGGCAGCGGTCGTGGCGGGAGCCTGTGCATCACTCGCGGGCAGCATGCTACCCGCCCTGCCGGGTGTGAAATTATCAACTTGGGGGCAGGGCCCAGCAGACAACTCGTTGCCGCAAGGCACCGGATCGTCATACCCGGCTCGGTCGGACAGTATGGGTGTCTGCCAGCCGAGCTGGTCGTCAAAGGTACGCGGGATATAGACAACCTCATAAAAAATGCTGCAGTGGACACGGCCTCGTAAGCGGTGGTGGTCGTGTCTATGATGTGGGCCGTGGCCACTGCAGTGTATCCAGCTCGGGCGGGCAGATCCATAGCTACCTGGTCAAGCCGGTAGTCATCACTTTGGCGGGCGGTGGTAGCGTCGTGGTCCATCGAGGAGGTGTCTTGGTCGTCCTCTTCTCTGCTGTCGTCCTCGGGGTCGCTGGGGCCATAGGAGGCAACCAGGGCGCGAGCCGTTGCGGCTGCAAGCGCTGACCCATGATCAGCCCGGTCGGGCAGCATGCTTGCCGCACTGCTGGGTCGAGCAGTAACATTTGAGTGGTTAGCAGCAGTGGCGGGGGCTTGAAGAGTGGACGAAAGGGCGTGTGGAGCCATCTCTACCGCCTCTGGACCCGGGGGGAGCGTGTGGTCACTTGGGGATCAGGTGCTCAGTAGGTAGCCATGCTGATCTCGATCGGGCAGCATGCGTGCATTCTGCCGGGCCCAGCGTTACCAATCGCAGTATCTTGGGCCTCTCCCATGTCTGGAAGGGCGCTCCGCAACATTTCTTGGTCCTTGGTGCACGTCTTGGTACCCGGGGGCCGCATGCTTGCGCCCGGGGAGCCGTCGCTCTGAAGTCCTTGGTCGTCTTGGCCTGCTACCCCATCGGGCAGCATGCCGACAGCCGTGCCGGGTAAAAAAAACGCACGGGAGTCCTGGAGGGCAGCGGCGGGAGCATCCGGCAGGTAGAGAGCCATACGGCGTGCGATGGAAGCCGATGGTGATCTTGGGGCTCCGTGGGGGCCGGCACACTTGGAGCGCTCTTATGCTGTAGCCCGTGGCGCGTGGTCTTGAGTAGGGTTTTCCACCACGGCGACCCCTATTCTGAAACCAAGTAGAGGCCCGAAGGTACCTTCGCTGATACCAACGGGGGTCGCCGGGCCTCTTCCCGGTCATCGACGGTACCCAAAACCGGGACCGGAGACCAGGGGGGCTTCGCGCGCGCTGACGCTTAGTGGGCACTGGGCGATACGGGTTTCGAACCCGTTCCCGAAGTTGCGACGCCTAACTCCGCGTCACAGCCGCGAGGCGATGGCGCGCGTAGATGCATGCGGGGCCTATTTTCGGTCCCCAAAAGGGAATTATCGGAGGTGCGAGTGTGTACCCCCAACATTAGTCCGACGGCGACTGTTCCCAGGCAGTTTCTTCCCACCCGTTCATCAAAGAAGTGTGACAAACTTTTTGGGAACAGTCTCAAATCAGACTGCCCCGTCTCTCCGCCAGTGACCAGTTGCGTGTCACTTGGGAGGGGGGCATTTCGCCTGATTCATTGCCAGTCTCGTCATCAGCCGACGCGTCATAGAAAGATGCATCGCTGGCGAGACTGGAATGGCTATCCGTGGAGCACTCACTATCGCTTGATCGAGAGCGCTCCCGAGGCTGCCAATCCGGCCTTTAGAAGCGCATCAGGATGCGTTGGTGTAGAGCCGGTGAAGAGGACAGAAAGGCTAAAAATCAAACAAAAGAACGAAAGTAGAAAAGAACGAGTGCAACGATTGCGTATCGTTGGCCTAGCGAGGGGAAGGTGTAAGCCCTTGGAGACCGCCCCGTCTCACGCGAGCAAGACGGGATGTCCAAAAATGAATGTGAAAAAGACCGACAGAAGTTGGAAACCAGTTCTCACACTGATTCGAACAGGTACTACACTTGATCTTAGCTAAAAGCCGAGAAGGTAGGGCTTGAAAGCAATATGGAGTACAGAATGCAGCACTGTCGATACAATAGTGACTGTTGAGAATAGGAATTTGAATGTTACATTAAATTTGGAAAGTAAAGGTGATATTCGGAACAATGAAATGCGGCAACAATACTAGGAATCTAACGTCGGTTTTTGGTGCTGCACGCGTGTATGTTGATAGTGTGTGTACGTTGTGAATGATGTAAAGTAATCATGATAATACGATATACAAAGCTATTGAAAAGGTAAATGCAAGTTGGCCTCACGGGAGAGAGGTGTAAGCCCCGGAGACCGCCCCGTCTTAGTGGCAAGCTACTTCGACAGGATGTCCAAAAATGAATGTGAAAAAGACCGACAAAAGTCGAAAACCAGTTTTCACACTGCTTAGAACAGACAAGTGTGTGTATTACCGTCCGGTTAGTCTATTTCTAAAGGTATTGAAATACCATATCGAAACTATGTGGTGTGTAAGTGAGGTACAGGTTGCACCACACAGAGCTAGACGATAACGTACCGGAGGGGTTTGAAGGGCGGTTCCCTACTTGGGTATCCCCCTGTCGGCCACAATGGGCCCGAACGACGCTTAGTGGCGACCTGGATGTGACGGAGTCCCCCCGGTCTCCGTCACCCGACTGAACCTCGTATCTTGATCTTGCCGCACCTGATGCCGCCGTGCTCGATGCTGACTGCAATGCAGGTTGCAAATGCGGCGGCTGGACTGTATGCAAGCTGCAGACAACTGCTTGTTCAGCCTCATCGCATCGCGCTTAAGCAGCCTCAGGTGTTAGATGTAAACCGCAAGGTTTCCATCGGCGACTGCACCAATCGAGTCGTAAACGAGCGCCGACAGATGAACGGTCCATCCTTGGCGCTCGAAGTGTCGCTTGACGCAGTCGTACTTGTCACGATTGGCCTTGGCTGTCCGGACCAGCGAAGACGTCTGCGGGTCGTCGATGGGCTGCTCTATAAATGCCACTACAAGGTCTACAACCGACACCGCGCGTGTGGTGTGGTTGTAGACCTGCAAGTCTGGCCGCAGCGCAGGTCTGGGGAGCGAGGGTACCGTTTGGTTGATCCTCAGCTCAATCCGGTCCGTTATGTCGCCGGACGCCGAAGCAATGGCTCGCTCAATGATCTTGAGGGCTACATCGTGGCGTCCGTGAATGGCATCCAAAGTCCCCGCGCAGTGGTTGAGCACATGCGCGAGTGTCTCCGACCGCGAGCATCCTAAATGCCTGCTTTGGTCATGATCCCGGAGACGCCTGCATTTGAGCACACTGTGCGTGTCGAGCTGGTTGAGTCGACCGGCTACCGCAAAGCGGTAGTCGGTCACCCGCAACCATGATTGTCGCCGTCGACTTGGTTACCACCATTTTCTTCTCCACCTTCTTCAGTCTTGTGGTTGACGAGAGCGATGACGATGTGGTTGACGAGAGCGACAACGACGCTGGCGGTCCCGAAGTGTGCGACGCGCGAAACGCATTCGTTGCTTGTGCGTGCGCGTCGTAGACTGCGTCATTGCTTGAATGCTTTCGCTTCCGCACCACGTCGTCAAGCGCGACTAAAAGACAGTTGGAGTGTGCGTTAGTTGCTAGATCATACAGGCACAGCACCAAGGGGGAAAACTACCTTATCCGGTGAGTTCGTCCTGTGAGGCTTGCGCTTAGCATTGACGACGACATTGCCGCTGCAAAGATGGAGTGCGTCTTTCTTAAGAATCAAAGTCTGGAGCTGCTATGAAAGCGAGTCAGGGGAGCACCGCCGTGAAGGCCTTTGCTCCGTCAGATTGACCGCACTCGTCAAGGGGAAGAGCTGTATCTGCATTCCATGTTTCTGGGTATTCGTCAAGTTTGGAGAAGCAACAATCAAATTGCCTGTGTTAAAAAAGGTAGCCTTGAGCAATTTTAAGCTGTATGCAGTCGATGAGTGCGAGGCGATGTACTATCGCAAACGATTCTACCAGCATCACGGCATAACCCATGTACGTACCAAGTCGGAATCGTACTGGAAGCTGAACCGGGACTCGAAGAAATACTCGGGTCTGGAGTCACTCGTGTCCGGGTGGTACGGATTCGCAGCTTTCAAGCGCAAGATACGCAAGTTGTGTCAGCGCAAGCAACATCACACGGTCCATTCCCTCCAGAGCGCGTATTTCGACGAGTGTTTGGTATTAATCTGAAAGGAATTAAGCATCTTGAAGATCGAGTTTGGCTCCAGAGCATTGGCGCTATTCCGTTTGAGAGCATGGTCAAGGTCGACGATCGCGATGTGGTCGTGTACTGGAAGGATGCTTGGCAAGACGGAACTCGCCTGTACCCCAATGTTTGCCAAAAGACTCCAAAAGAGCTCCGCAAGGCAGTCATAAGAGCGGCCATGCCACTCAGCGTTGCCGTTCAGTCCAAGTGGGGCTACGAACCCGGACGCTCAAGTTCCGTCTGCTGTGGTGACGAAACGCATTTGCGCTCGAGTCGACAACACACTTGGCTGCAGTGAACAGTACACTAAAGGGACTATACGGACTGGCGGGCTGCGCACTGCGTTCACCATCGCGGGTCTCAACAGTACCTCAGTCTTTCTTGATGCCGGCTGCTGGTATGGAGGCCCAATGCAGCTCGCGAAAGTGGAATTTGGTGTCAGGGCAGCAGCACTTAGCATTGAAGTCTGTCGATATCGTGTGACGCAAGCTCTATTGCACGCCAAGACCACCAAAGTGCCACTGTTTCCAGTGCATCTACCAGCCGAGTGCTTTGATTACTATGATCCGGCCACACAGGTTTTCGTGTTTGGTACGGCCACGGTCAATCTGGCGTTGGCTGCAATTCAGTGCGCCATCACGCGTTCACAGTCAGTGTGATATGTCATCACTGAAAAGCGAAGTCTATGCGAGATGGACCTGCCAGGCTACCGATTTAAATTCATCAGAGCATTCAAAGTGACGATGTCGGGGTCTGATGGCGGAGGCGATTTCACTATGTGCATATACCAGCGCGTCAACTTCGATGCGTCGCTCTTGTGATACACTCGTATACCGTGTCTTGCTTGATAATACTAACCTTGCGCGTGCTAGCTTCCTTAGCGGCCGAGCGCGTGCACCCAGCGTTTGTCTCTGCAGTGTTCATCCAGCGCTACAAATTGACTATCCAATTACAATACCTAGAGTCGCAGCTTGTCGACCTAAAGCAGTCGAATCGGAACTACGCGCAGCGTTTCTTCTGTTTGGCGATGGCGGCGCCACCTACTCCGCATCCTTCGGCGACATCAATGAATAGTTGGGGTTAGACTCGGTCGTAGGATTGAGCGTAACAACAAGTATTAATGAAAGTCGCATGTTAACTTCGTTGCTGTACTATCGTGTTGTCATCTATCATTGCCTCTACTGTCATACTGTCGCTTGCTGCGCTACTGACTGCGTGGTTGCGCTACTACACTTGCACGCGTGTGCGTCGTGGACTACGTCGTCGGTCATTGTCGCCATTGACTTGGTTACCGCCATTTTCTTCTTCAACTTCTTCAGTCTTGTGGTTGACGAGAGCGATGACGATGTGGTTGACGAGAGCGACAACGACGCTGGCGGTCCCGAAGTGTGCGACGCGCGAAACGCGTTCGTTGCTTGTGTGTGCGCGTCGTAGACTGCGTCATTGCTTGAATGCTTTCGCTTCCGCACCACGTCGTCAAGCGCGACTAAAAGACAGTTGGAGTGTGCGTTAGTTGCTAGATCATACAGGCACAGCACCAAGGGGGAAAACTACCTTATCCGGTGAGTTCGTCCTGTGAGGCTTGCGCTTAGCATTGACGACGACATTGCCGCTGCAAAGATGGAGTGCGTCTTTCTTAAGAATCAAAGTCTGGAGCTGCTATGAAAGCGAGTCAGGGGAGCACCGCCGTGAAGGCCTTTGCTCCGTCAGATTGACCGCACTCGTCAAGGGGAAGAGCTGTATCTGCATTCCATGTTTCTGGGTATTCGTCAAGTTTGGAGAAGCAACAATCAAATTGCCTGTGTTAAAAAAGGTAGCCTTGAGCAATTTTAAGCTGTATGCAGTCGATGAGTGCGAGGCGATGTACTATCGCAAACGATTCTACCAGCATCACGGCATAACCCATGTACGTACCAAGTCGGAATCGTACTGGAAGCTGAACCGGGACTCGAAGAAATACTCGGGTCTGGAGTCACTCGTGTCCGGGTGGTACGGATTCGCAGCTTTCAAGCGCAAGATACGCAAGTTGTGTCAGCGCAAGCAACATCACACGGTCCATTCCCTCCAGAGCGCGTATTTCGACGAGTGTTTGGTATTAATCTGAAATGAATTAAGCATCTTGAAGATCGAGTTTGGCTCCAGAGCATTGGCGCTATTCCGTTTGAGAGCATGGTCAAGGTCGACGATCGCGATGTGGTCGTGTACTGGAAGGATGCTTGGCAAGACGGAACTCGCCTGTACCCCAATGTTTGCCAAAAGACTCCAAAAGAGCTCCGCAAGGCAGTCATAAGAGCGGCCATGCCACTCAGCGTTGCCGTTCAGTCCAAGTGGGGCTACGAACCCGGACGCTCAAGTTCCGTCTGCTGTGGTGACGAAACGCATTTGCGCTCGAGTCGACAACACACTTGGCTGCAGTGAACAGTACACTAAAGGGACTATACGGACTGGCGGGCTGCGCACTGCGTTCACCATCGCGGGTCTCAACAGTACCTCAGTCTTTCTTGATGCCGGCTGCTGGTATGGAGGCCCAATGCAGCTCGCGAAAGTGGAATTTGGAGTCAGGGCAGCAGCACTGAGCATTGAAGTCTGTCGATATCGTGTGACGCAAGCTCTATTGCACGCCAAGACCACCAAAGTGCCAGTGTTTCCAGTGCATCTACCAGCCGAGTGCTTTGAGTACTATGATCCAGCCACACAGGTTTTCGTGTTTGGTACGGCCACGGGCAATCTGGCGTTGGCTGCAATTCAGTGCGCCATCACTCGCTCAGTCAGTGTGATATGTCATCACTGAAAAGCGAAGTCTATGCGAGATGGACCTGCCAGGCTACCGATTTAAATTCATCAGAGCATTCAAAGTGACGATGTCGGGGTCTGATGGCGGAGGCGATTTCACTATGTGCATATATCAGCGCGTCAACTTCGGTGCGTCGCTCTTGTGATACACTCGTATACCGTGTCTTGCTTGATAATACTAACCTTGCGCGTGCTAGCTTCCTTAGCGGCCGAGCGCGTGCACCCAGCGTTTGTCTCTGCGGTGTTCATCCAGCGCTACAAATTGACTATCCAATTACAATACCTAGAGTCGCAGATTGTCGACCTAAAGCAGTCGAATCGGAACTACGCGCAGCGTTTCTTCTGTTCGGCGATGGCGGCGCCACCTACTCCGCATCCTTCGGCGACATCAATGAATAGTTGGGGTTAGAATCGGTCGTAGGATTGAGCGTAACAACAAGTATTAATGAAAGTCGCATGTTAACTCCGTTGCTGTACTATCGTGTTGTCATCTATCATTACCTCTACTGTCATACTGTCGCTTGCTGCGCTACTGACTGCGTGGTTGCGCTACTACACTTGCACGCGTGCGCGTCGTGGACTGCGTCGTCAGTAATTGTCGCCATTGACTTGGTTACCGCCATTTTCTTCTTCAACTTCTTCAGTCTTTTGGTTGATGAGAGCGACGACGACGCTGGCGGTCCCGAAGTGTGCGGCGCGCGAAACGCGTTCGTTGCTTGCGCGTCGTCGACTGCGTCATCCATGATTGTCGCCGTTGGCTTGGTTACCACCATCTTCTTCTTCGCCTCCTTCAGTATTGTGGTTGACGAGAGCGACGACGACGCTGGCGGTCCCGAAGTCTGAGGTGCACGAAGCGCGTTCGTTTCAACCCGGTCGGGCAGCATGCCTGCCGCCCTCCGGGTATAGCAGCAACACTCGCAAGTCCTGGGAGGCGACGGGGGCCGCTGCGGCAGTCGGGAGCGCGGGGGGGGGGCGGTTCGCGTGTCGTAGAACCCCGGCACACCCTGTTCGCACCCAGGAAGCCGATGCTCTGAGGAAGTCATTGCTGGACCCGGTCGGGCAGCATGCTGGCCGCCCTGCCGGGCCCATCGTCATCAATCGCAGTATCTTGGGCCTCTCCCATGTCTGGATGGGCGCTCCGCAACATTTCTTGGTCCTTGGTGCACGTCTTGGTACCCGGGGGCCGCATGCTTGCGCCCGGGGAGCCGTCGCTCTGAAGTCCTTGGTCGTCTTGGCCTGCTACCCCATCGGGCAGCATGCCGACAGCCGTGCCGGGTAAAAAAAACGCACGGGAGTCCTGGAGGGCAGCGGCGGGAGCATCCGGCAGGTAGAGAGCCATACGGCGTGCGATGGAAGCCGATGGTGATCTTGGGGCTCCGTGGGGGCCGGCACACTTGGAGCGCTCTTATGCTGTAGCCCGTGGCGCGTGGTCTTGAGTAGGGTTTTCCACCACGGCGACCCCTATTCTGAAACCAAGTAGAGGCCCGAAGGTACCTTCGCTGATACCAACGGGGGTCGCCGGGCCTCTTCCCGGTCATCGACGGTACCCAAAACCGGGACCGGAGACCAGGGGGCTTCGCGCGCGCTGACGCTTAGTGGGCACTGGGCGATACGGGTTTCGAACCCGTTCCCGAAGTTGCGACGCCTAACTCCGCGTCACAGCCGCGAGGCGATGGCGCGCGTAGATGCATGCGGGGCCTATTTTCGGTCCCCAAAAGGGAATTATCGGAGGTGCGAGTGTGTACCCCCAACATTAGTCCGACGGCGACTGTTCCCAGGCAGTTTCTTCCCACCCGTTCATCAAAGAAGTGTGACAAACTTTTTGGGAACAGTCTCAAATCAGACTGCCCGGCCTCTCCGCCAGTGACCAGTTGCGTGTCACTTGGGAGGGGGGCATTTCGCCTGATTCATTGCCAGTCTCGTCATCAGCCGACGCGTCATAGAAAGATGCATCGCTGGCGAGACTGGAATGGCTATCCGTGGAGCACTCACTATCGCTTGATCGAGAGCGCTCCCGAGGCTGCCAATCCGGCCTTTAGAAGCGCATCAGGATGCGTTGGTGTAGAGCCGGTGAAGAGGACAGAAAGGCTAAAAATCAAACAAAAGAACGAAAGTAGAAAAGAACGAGTGCAACGATTGCGTATCGTTGGCCTAGCGAGGGGAAGGTGTAAGCCCTCGGAGACCGCCCCGTCTCACGCGAGCATCCAAAAATGAATGTGAAAAAGACCGACAGAAGTTGGAAACCAGTTCTCACACTGATTCGAACAGGTACTACACTTGATCTTAGCTAAAAGCCGAGAAGGTAGGGCTTGAAAGCAATACAGAGGACAGAATGCAGCACTGTCGATACAATAGTGACTGTTGAGAATAGGAATTTGAATGTTACATTAAATTCGGAAAGTAAAGGTGATATTCGGAACAATGAAATACGGCAACAATACTAGGAATCTAACGTCGGTTTTTGGTGCTGCACGCGTGTATGTTGATAGTGTGTGTACGTTGTGAATGATGTAAAGTAATCATGACAATACGATATACAAAGCTATTGAAAAGTTAAATGCAAGTTGGCCTCACGGGAGAAAGGTGTAAGCCTCCGGAGACCGCGCGTCTTTGTCCCAATAAACTTCGACAGGATGTCCAAAACTGAATGTGAAAAAGATCGACAAAAGTCGGAAACCAGTTCTCACACTGATTAGAACAGACAAGTGTGTGTGTGGAGAAGCCGATCTCACAAAATTACTTTAGTGAGTGTCGATCTTCCACTTGCCCAGACTTGCCGACTCACGGAGGGGGTACTCCGATCCGTGCATTGCTGTATAAATTTGTGCTCACCTTTTGTACCCGTCGGTTTGTCTGGCTTGAGCTCTTCGTAACGGCCTTGGAGAATGTCGATCTTGCTGAGAGGTTGGGTTAAGAGTTCGCTTCCGGTGCGGAAATCTTCACACCACGAACAGGGGTTCTGCGATCTTGATCTCGAGTCGCGGCGATCTCTAGCTAAGATGTCGCGATCTCGATCTTGAATCGCACCGATCTCGATTTGTCTTCGGGATCGGGGTCTCTGCTGATAGTAGTTTTGCGTCGATCTTGCCTTGGGATCGGTCCGATCTGGTCTTAGGATCGTCCGATCTTGCTGGAAGTGCGCAATTTGGGCAGGTCGGTCCTTGGTTTCGCCAAAATGAAACATGCCGATCTGTCCAGTGGATCGCTTCGATCTTGCTCAATCATGTCTTGAACGCCTTGTCCAGATCTTCTGACCACTTGAGCCGTCTCGCGATCCTGTGTCCAAAATCCTTTTCCTTTTCCGTTGTGTGCTGCTACCCTAGCAGTTGAGTTGAGAGTGAGTACTTGATCGATCCGGGCCAAACTTCCCGAGATAGGTCTTCTGTGTCCTTGTAACACGCGTGCCTTGACCCGCCGGGGAAGCCAAATCAATCTTGCCCGGAGAAGAGGGGAGGAGAACGTGCGTTGTGAGCAGAAGAAGTAGAGTTCAAGTATGTTTAATAACCAACCAAATTAATAGCCAAGCTATGTTTAAGCCAATTCCCAACTATAGGTCACTCTCCAAGTCGATATCACCTTTAAGCTTGACCGCCCCCCTGAACACGTGTCGAGATTTCATGACCTGTACTCCAAAGATAGCGCCAATATCCCCGATATCGTACCTAAACGCCTAAAGAGGACCAAATCCCAAATGTGGTACTAAATACCCATTTTTGGTGCCCAAAAGCCCGAAATAGAGCCCAAATGCCGAAGGCGTCTAAATCCATTTTGCGACGTCAATTTAACCGGCTTCCACTGACTTTTTGGATCTGAACTTTTGAGACATCACTCATGGACCTTCAACAAGCATGTTTGTCGTGATCCAAAAGTCTCATCATCGATTTATCCATAATCAGTGGGGAACATGACCGATCTGATGCCCAATTCGAGATCGTTAATGATCGACACTGTAACGGGGTGAATCGTTACATAACAATTTATAAGAAATTGTTGATAGAATATAACTATAAGAGTTATATTCTCATAATATTGTCATAAGGACAATATTCTACAGCACTTACGAGTAGTTTCTAATTGGTTGATATAGGCCATTATATCAACTAACGTAGACGCGCCACGACAGACGCACGCAATGAGTGGTGAGCAGATAGTTGATATGCACGTTTGTATCTAGACATAGTTAGATGAGGATAAATAGTGATTTTTCAACAGACATTAACTATGATAAATACAGTTCTACTTTTTACTTTAACCAAGTACTCGCTTCTTCTTACCGTCTTCCTCTGCACGTACGAGTGTACGAGAAGTTACAAGGCACCGCCTTATTCTGTTATCAGAATAAGTAGCTTGTACTGTCACCAGTACAAGCTTCAGGGTGCCCCGTTACACCTGGTAGCACTTCGTAGTCCGTCCAAGGACCGCGTTCACATCCAACATGAATATGTTGGATGATGAAGATGACCAAAGCTTTCACGCTACGCGTGACGGCTACTCCCATTTGAGCGATGTCGAATGGGATGCGGTTGAACGGATGGGTTCGACCATGGGCATCCATGCTGTTAGCGTCATGCTAGAGGCTCTCAATAGAGATGCCCAACATGCTACGATCGCCAAGTTCATTCAAAATGAACTTGACGCTGAACTCGAGAAAGTAGCCTTGCTTCACCAACAAGGTTCTCAACAAGCAGAGTTGTTGAGAGAACAGGGTGCTCAACAGTTTGAACTGTTGAGACAGCAGCAGGCTGCTGCTGGTGGGTCGATGCACTCGCGTCGACCCGAAACCTTGAAGATTGACATCTCCAAGTATAGGGGGGTCGAAGAAGACTCCCTCTTGAGATGGTTCGTCGAATTGGATGACGCCATAAGGGCGCGTCGCATCGACGACGGGGATATGCAAGTTGCATTTGCCCAGTCAAATCTGGCAGGACGTGCCAAGACTTGGGCACTGGGGCTCAAGTTGCACGACCCATATGCGTTTGGGTCGTTGGAAGTCTTCAAGTCGCGGCTCAGAAAAACGTTTGAACCGCCTAGAGCTGAGTTCAGTGCTCGAACCAAACTCTTGAAGCTCAAACAGGGTAAGCGTGATGTGCACGCTTACGCGCAACATATACGACATCTCACGAGTTGAATAAGTTCCAACCCGGTGGATGAACACACGTTGGTTTCGGTGTTCATGCAGGGTCTTGCGGATGGTCCCGTCAAGACTCACCTGTTCCGACTTGATCTAGATTCACTAGAACAAGCCATTTCCATTGCGGAGCAGGAAGACTTCAGTCTGAGACAGGCTCGCGCCAGCTCGACATCATATCGTCAACCGAGACGATATGACAGCGAAGGTCCAGAGCCGATGGAACTCTGTTATGTAGAAAGTGAGAAGGCTCGCTCTACAGGCTACAAGAAGTTGCAGAGATGCAACAGATGTCAAAAGACAGGACACTACGCTTACGAGTGTAGTGCCCCTCGTCCAGTGTCTTGCAACACTGGGCGTAGTGACCGTCCACCCATGAGAAAGGGGCAGAGACGCGGGTCCGCTGATGGTGCAAAGACGCAACAACGGGATGGACCGTCAAAAAACGGACAGGATCAGTAGGTGCGGAGCACCCTACTGGTCTAGCAACGTCAAGAGAATTTGTAGGCCTCTTGATGAAGGTTGCTCCCAACACACAAACGTTGTGCGTTACTGCATTAGGTAATGATATCTCACTCATTACCTTGAAACTCGAAGTGACGAATAAGTTGTCCCTTCGAGCTCTAGTCGATTGTGGGGCGTCCAACAATTTTGTGCGACGCCAATCGCTAGAAGATGGTCACTTTAAATTCAGTGAATGTGACACACCTCCTACGAGGATGACGGTACGTCTTGCGACAGGCGCATCCGTAACCGTCATGAAGCGTATAGTGAAGATCCACTATACGCTAGAAGATACCCAATATGACGATGACTTTATCGTATTGGATTTGGATGACAAATTTGATGTCATCCTTGGAATACTGTGGCTCAGAAGGTACGAACCACGGGTAAACTGGCAACATCGGACAGTAACGATGCCTGCCGCTTGTTCATCAGATGGCCATCTGATGAACGTTTTGGAGCGTCCACAAGCGTGTGGATGTACTACGAGTGAGTGCGATGGCCTCACTTGTGGTACGGTCGTTAGTACGACTGCACAAAACCTTAGTGTACCAAACGGTTACACTTCGGAGCAAAGTTCCGGCGGCTGTGAGGAAACACAGGCTGCGCTGAAGGTCCACCACTCGAATAAGTCGGGTGGACTGGGACAAAGATGTATCCCTAGCGGGGAACATCTAGAAGAGAAACAATCGATCGCTCAGGTTAAGCGAAACGATAATCCTAGATCGACTGGAGAGTCTTTCGTAGAGGATCTCGCTGTGGTTGCGCAACCCCAGCTAGAGGAAGTAAAGGGAATAAGTCCCAAGATTACAAATACGGCGGAAATAAATTCCCCAAAACCCGCGGGAATAAGTCCCCGGGAAGACGAAGGAATAAGTCCTTCAAAGCCTGAGGGAATAAGTCCTTCGAAGCCTGAGGGAATAAGTCCCCAGGAAATGACAGAGACATTGAATGTCATAGTCAATAACGGATCAAGTGTAGGCGCTTATACACTTGATCTGATTGCGCCTCCGAAGTTAACTTCGGAGATCACTCAGTTGCCAACGCTCGAACATAAAAGGTTCTTGCGTGATCTGCGTAGTGGCAAAGTCAAGCAGATCTGCATACTCGTCGCTGACGACGAGTGTGTAACCGACATCAGGTCAGCAACAGTGTTTACTGAGAACGAGAGAGTTCTCAGTAGTTCATCTATGGACGAGAGTGTCCTAGATGAAAAGACACGAATTGAGCGATATGACTCCCAATCATGGGAATCGCTCAAGAAAAATCCTCTCTATGAAGATTTGGTTGAATTCAAGGATGTATTCCCTGAAACTGTTCCGTGCGAATTACCGAAGGATAAAGGTATTCGACACGAAGTCGAGCTTAAACCAGGCTCGAAGTACTGTGTCATGAAGCAGTGGCCACTGTCTCGTGAACAAGTACTTTCGATCGACAAGTTCTTTGCCGATCGTTTAGCAGCGGGCCATGTGAGGGAATCAACTTCCCCACATAGCTCTCCGACCTTCTGTGTGCGAAAAGCAACAGGAGGGTGGCGGATAGTGCACGCGTTCAACAAATTGAACGCTGCAACGGTACCGGCTCAGACGCCGATACCGAGGAAGGACGTAATCATTGATGGTATGTCAAAGAGTACCATCTTTTCGTCCATGGATTTGATGGATGGCTTCTATCAAATCCTAATGCGGGAACGGGATATAGCCTATACCGCAGTTAGCACGCCTAGCGGCATGCTCTGGGAATGGCTAGTAATGCCACAAGGGCTTAGTAATGCCCCTGCCACGTTCAACAGATGTGTATCACATCTGTTGAGACCAGTACGAGAATTCGCGCCGAGTTATTTCGATGACGTATTCATCCATAGTCGAGCTATGGATGGAAAGTCGGACGTTGAGGTTCACAGGTACCACGTCCGACAAGTTCTTACAATCATGCGAAAGCATCAATTGTATGCAAACCTCAAGAAGTGTATATTTGCAGCAAGCGAAATACCACTTCTTGGGTGCATCGTTGGTAAGAACGGTGTACGTCCTGATCCCGAAAAGATCAAGGCGATCGCCGACTGGCCTGTGCCGGTCGATGTCAAAGGTCTTCGAAAATTCCTTGGGCTAGCGGCGTATTTGCATAAGTATTCACGCAATTACGCCGAGATGACTGTGCACCTCTCTCGTTTATTGAAAAAGAACGAGAGGTGGTTATGGAACGCTGAATGTCAACGCTCCTTTGATGGTATCAAGCAGAGCTTGATACAATCCCCAGTCCTAGCAATAGCCGATCAGGACAGGCCATTTCATGCGGTCTGTGATGCCAGCGATTTCGCAATCGGCTGTGCACTAATGCAGTACGATCTTGAAGGCGTTGAACGCGTCGTCTGCTATCAGTCGCGTCAGCTGCAACCAGCTGAGCGGAACTATCCAGTGCATGACAAGGAACTCCTTGCCATGAAGTATGCACTCGCGAAGTTCAGAGTCTATCTATTAGGAGATAGACCCTTCGTTGTTTACACTGACCATGCGTCATTACGCACGGCAGTGAACAGCCCGCACCTTTCACAACGAATGGCGCGGTGGTTGTCATTCTTTGCGGAATACAACTTTACGGTTGAGTACAAACCAGGACGACTTAATGTCGTCGCTGATGCACTCTCACGTCGTCCCGACTTTGAAACAGTCGCGAAACCCAACAGTGAGACAGTCACTGTTGCGGTTATGACGTCCTCAGTCCCATCTACAACGTTGTATGATGATGTGAGGCGGGCATACGCCCAAGATGGTGAGATAGTGAAGTTGTTGACACATCTCTCCCAACCATCCCGAGAATCGTTGAAACGATTGTCGCCTGCGTATCGATCTGCATCAGATCGATACACTACTCGTAACGGTTTACTGTATTATACAGCCGTTTCTGGTGACACACCACGTGTTGTCATTCCAGATGATACTGATCTGCGTTTGCGGATCATGTTCGAGTATCACGATGCTCCTATAGGAGGACATCGTGGCCGAGAGAAAACATATCTCACGGTAAGTCGAGACTTTTACTGGGCCCGCCAGTATCAGTTTGTGCGAAAGTATGTTCGCGCATGCGAAGTCTGTCAACGAGTGAAGTCAAGTCCTTCACTGCGTGCACCTTTACAGCCTCTATTGGTTCCGGCTGAGTGCTGGGAATCCATCTCAATGGATTTCGTCTTCGGGTTACCCAAAGACGCACGCGGGAATACGGGTATTCTCGTATTTGTTGACAGATTCAGCAAAATGGTACACCTTGTGGCTGTACCAGAGACAATCACGGCAAGTGGCTGTGCTTGTGTCTTTATTGACACCATCTTCCGACTTCATGGGTTGCCCCGTGAACTCGTATCAGACAGAGATCCACGATTCACTGCTGATTTCTGGCGTTCCGTGTTCAAATCACTCGGAACGCGCTTGAAGATGTCAACATCTGATCATCCAGAGTCAGATGGTCAGACGGAACGTGCCAACTGTGTCCTCGAAGAGATACTTCGAGGATACGTACACTCCTTTAAGAGTTGGAGTGAGTTTTTGCCTATGGTAGAGTTTGCCATCAACAACTCGGTGCATGCGTCCACAACACATACACCGTTTTACGTGAATGGCTTGCGCCATCCGCGTGTACCCACCTTACTAGAGTGTAACTCTGGTTTAAGGGGGGGGGGACTCGCGCGAGCAAAAACCGAATTGGTTCACGCTCATCACGCTCTGACGAAGAAGTCATTGCGTTTGATGCCGATATCGATAACATCGATATCGAAGAAGATGATGCCAGTGAGAGTGCGGAAGCCCTCACTGAAGACAATGATCCCAGTGAGAGTGCGGAAGCCCTCATTGAAGAAAAGGTTGTTGTTGCTGCAGTGCGCTCACAGCACTCTGAAGCTAACGAGTCATCAGATGAGTTCATACTGGCTCGTGAAACGGTATTCCGTTTTGTGCAAGACTCCATCGCCGAAGCGGTGGATAAGCAAAAGCAAAACGCTGACAAGAATGGAAGGGCAACCACTCTTTTATTTAGTAAAGGTGACTTAGTCCTACTGTCTACGGTTAATCTACCAAAGCATGTAGTGACTAACTTGGGTAGCAGTAAACTGCTACCCAAGTACATTGGCCCATTTCGTGTATTGCACCGCCTAGGCAATGCATACACGATCGAGTTACCACGTAAGATGCGAACGCATCCCACGTTTTACGTTGGTCGGCTTAAGGCGTACCATCAGTACGCTGCTTCTTCCGATAAAGAACGCCCTTGCGCCCAAGCATCTCGCAAAGAGCCTTGTGCTCCCGATGGTGGGCATCAACAAGGGTCTGAAGAGCAGTTATCTCAGCCCGAGACCGATCAACAATCCCACGACCTACCCTTAGCTCGTCACGAAGAGATGTCAGAGATCTCTCGTTCTCGAGCTGAGCAAAGGCAAACTCAGCTCGATGCTTCGAGGCAGTGTCCACCATTTGGAGACGCCTATTCCGCTCATGTTCGAGATCGTTGCGTAACCTTTGCGTTACGCGATCAAAGAAGCTCTCAGGAACACACGGATCCACATGATCGTGTGGAGAGCGTCTTTCCTCCTCCTCCACCTCCATTAGAGGACTCTCGCGGTGGCCAGCGCTATCTAGTTGAGCAGCTGTTGAACCACCGCGACGTGAACGGACGTCGGACGAGTTATCTCGTCCGGTGGCGCGGCTATCCCCCGTCCTGGGATTCTTGGGAGCCCCGCTCCCAACTGATGATCGACGTACTGGGTCTGGTTGAGCAGTACGACGCGGCACATCCTGTGCCGCAGAAGGACCGCTGGAGAAAGTCTTCCCGGCACGGTCGTAAAGGGATTTCAGGTTGTCAATCCCTTCGTACATCTCAGTAGAGACACGTACGCGCCACCACGGGCTAGTAAGGAGGTAAGCCTCCTTAGGTGCTCGCGCAGAGTTGTTCACACAACATAGGCACGAGTCTCCCCAAGAGAGGCAGGGTAATCCTTTCTCCCTTGACAGACGATGCAGCTTGTAGCGTGCACCTGTCGGGGTTCGCTTTTCAAACTTATCACGAGCTTTGATAAGTTTGTCGTTCCAAGCGTCACGACCTACATCCTCGAGGTTATGGATGTAGGCGTTCCACGCTTGAAGTAGTGAGGGACCATCACGCTTGTGGTTCCCACTGTACCATCGATGTCTGAAGAAAGCATCGATGAAGAATTCGTGTTCAGCGCGATAGTTTTTCGTGCTGGGGTCAAGGTGATGGATCCTTGACGAATCGAACAATCGTGTTCGATAACGATCACTCGTCGTCGCCGACAAGTGATCCATGACGGATTTCGGAGGCATCCATGCCTTCTTTTCTGGAGCGAGACGCAACACATTGCGGTCCCGCTCTTCCTGCGACGTGCCGACAGAAGTACTGGCACCTCGCTGCGAAGTGGTGTCAATAGGAGAACCGACACCACTGTGAGCGCCCGAGTCTCGCGACCTCGAGCGCCTTCGCTTTGGCGATGGTTCATCTGATTAATCAGATGAACCAAAGATGCTGCGACGCAAAGCATCGTCCATGCCACGCTTGGCTGGCGGCTTAGATTCAATCGCCGTCGATACGGATCCGTCATCCGTATCAGGAGAGTACAAGACACCGAGCTCGTACTCTGTGAAGACACGAGTGTCTTCATGACCAGCGCCTGCATCACCAAGTGACACAGGCTGAGTCGCTTCAGCAACCGATGGGACATCAGTTGCTGTTGTTTCTGCTTCGGCGTCCGCACAGAGACGTGCAGACGCGCTCTCGGCGGCCTTGCTCGCGCATCGCATGGGCTTGTTAACCATGCGATGAGATGTTGGAAAGTGGACGCGGACCAACAAGTGCAAACCCCGTCCCAAATGATTTGGGACGAGTATCCATTTAGTCAATCAGTCACTAAAGTGATTGATGGTTAATGGGGGGGGTGATGTAACGGGGTGAATCGTTACATAACAATTTATAAGAAATTGTTAATAGAATATAACTATAAGAGTTATATTCTCATAATATTGTCATAAGGACAAATATTCTGTTGCACTTACAAGTAGTTCCTAATTGGTTGATATAGGCCATTATATCAACCAACGAAGACGCGCCACGACAGACGCACGCAAGGAGTGGTGAGCAGATAATTGATTTACACATTTGTATTTAGACATAGTTAGATGAAGATAAATAGTGATTTAGTGCAGACATTAACTATTATAAATACAGTTCTACTTTTTACTTTAACCAAGTACTCGCTTCTTCTTACCGTCTTCCTCTGCACGTACGATTGTACGAGAAGTTACAAGGCACCGCCTTATTCTGTTATCAGAATAAGTAGCTTGTACTGTCACCAGTACAAGCTTCAGGGTGCCCCGTTACAGACACAGTACAATCCGGCCATATATGTTCTTCCGTTCATTGTGTGTACTTCTATACCATCCCCAAGGGTTTATCTGCTCAATGGGACCATCCACAGTTCTTACAACGGTCCCGCGGACTCCCACAAACATCCCCACTTCCAGGTCGGGCCATAATTAACCTAAATCAGTACTCCCTTTGGGAGACCCGTAGAGAGTGTCACCGATCTGCAGGATGTTGCACCTTCGTCACAGAGTCATATCACATCACCTGGTCCCAGATCTTTGTCCCAGATCGCTCCATGGAAATCGTTCTATTTGTCGTCTTGTCCCAGATCACTCCGTCTCAGATCGTTACATACCCATCAGTCTGACGACAGTTGAATTGGATCGCCGATCCCCGTTGAGACCGCCTTCCATCTCCTTATCGGATCTCCAGGTCTCATGGCCTCATTTTCCACCATTAAGTGGCGTCTCAAATATGTGGCTACCGATCCTCGCATAAAATATTGATAAGTGACTTCGCCACAACCGCCCCATGTACTGAAGTCCTTTGTACAGCAATTGTCCTCAGTGCAGTCACTCATCAACTTCGCTCCAACCACTCAAGTCTGTCTCATGGCCTCTCCGACGCATCTCTTCACCTCGCCGATCTCTTCAGAAGGCTCCATCATGCTTCTGTCTCCGGATCGCGACCCGTCACCCGGTTCGCCGATTACGAAGGACACACTCCAACGGTCCCAGATCGGCCTGGGTCTCCACGTCATCTAGGTCCAGCCGGATCGTCAACGATCGCCACGGGATCGCCAGATCGACGACTGACTAGACCCTCGTTTCCAGCCCGGACCTGCCGTCTGGATCGCCGGATCGCGGGAGGTATGCTCCAATCGTCCCAGATCGACATGAGTCTCTAAGTAATTCCAGTTCGGTCGGATCGCTCTCGATTGTCACGGGATCGCCAGATCGCTCGTCTGAGCCGCTTGCGCTTTCCGAACCTCCGGCGACCCTGGGTGCGTTTAGATCCGACACCCTGGCCACTAGTGAGTCTCGTGTAGGGTCTGCTTCAACTGCAGACGTCACCGGCCACGTTCCAAGAATTTCTGCCGACGACGTTCGTCTTACGTTGGCTACAATCTCTTATTTAGGGGATCGAGACAGAAAATCCTTCTGCAGCCAAGTCAATACCATTCATGCGCTTCAGCAGTCATACCGAGATGCGGTCGCTCGGGGGGATTGCTTGCAAGACAAGATTGATTCTCTGTATAGATCAGCCGCACCCTTCGTCTTTTGTCCAGCGTCGATATGAATGGATGCAAGGCCGCTACGTCGACGCAGTACATTCCTTGAGCGACTGTAAACGAGCTCTGCGAACACATCAAGATCAATCGGCGCAAATTCTTCGGCTACGCGCTTTGTTACGTGCCAGCGATGAGGATCAAGGCAGCTTGGAACGGCAGGTGAAAACTTTGAGGGCTCAAGTCCATTCGCTCCAAGCCGAGCTCAATTCTCTCCAACAGCTGCGTGACCAGCTGACCTCCGACAGGTATTTCCTTCTCACAAGAAGTTATGCATTTGAGGGAGGAATTGGATCGGTCTTAGGAGAAGATCGCAGATGGACTGTCTTCGATCAGCGATCTCGTACAACTATTGGACTGTTTGACTCCTCTGGAGGGTCAGTTGGCACTTTCGCAGATGGAGAACGCCAACCTCCGTCGTCAGCTTTGGGAACACCTCACGGTACACGACCAGTTACAGGTGGCGGAGCAAGATCGGGATCGGGCCACAGCAGAACACCGAGCTCTCCTCGACACACTGAACAGTGCTATACTCGGGTCCCGGTCGTCTGCGTTGACCGCTCGACCGACGCCTAGAAGTGCTACTCCGAACGGATCGCCACCTGTTTCCGCACCCCAGGGATTGATATCGCTTGCCCGTAGAGATCGCTTGCCCGTAGGTCCAGGTTGAGATCGTCTGGCCCGCCGGCCAAGCGTTGGCGTGATCAACCAGGGTTACGATCCATGAATTCTTCCATCACCCGTTCGGCCTCCCGGCTATTAGCGTTGAACCCCTCAACACCTTCCAAGAAACTTCCCAGATCAGCCCCACCCGAGCCTTCATTCAATCCCCCATTCTTCTCCGCCTTCGTCCGCAGCTTCTGGGACTGGATCGGGAAGTGGGGACCTGACCGATTCGGTCTCCAGCTTGAATGATCTGACTTGTCCTGTTTTGTCCCACTCGAGATCGACCGCTCGTCGTCAACCTGGATCGGATGCCCGATCTTCGACTCCAGACCCCTCTCCATCTGCCCCGGCTGCTCCCACTTCATCCGTAGCTACCGCGTTTGATCAAGCACTGTCGCGTTCGCCATCTCCAGACGTCCCGAAGCCTCGCTATATTCCGTACTCATCCACTCCGGTCGCGGTTGTCCCCGTAATTAAAATTTATGATGATGGCGACTCAGAAGATGTGGAGGTGTCGCCGACAGGGGAGACACACAGCAAGAATGGCTCTGTTAGTCTGCCCCCTGGGTCCACTGCGCTCTCGGATCGCCATTCGTCCGATAGCGACAATAGCATCACCATTACGGCCCACCAAGTGGCTAACAGAGTTTTCTCTTCCGTTGACTTCGACAATCTTCCGCCACTCCAGCAACCACGGGATCGGTGGATTCCCAACTATCTGGCGCCCTCCCGACGGGTAGCTTCCGAGATCGCTCCTTGGTCCGTTTCGCGGATCGCGATGGTCTGCGTGAGGAGCATAACCATTGAGCTGCTGTTTCACCACTATTCCAAGCCCAGGAATTTTCTGTTCCCCTTGTACCCTCATGGGCAAGCTCCGCCTACGGGGAATTGGGCACCTGGGCTGATCTCGCGGCGACACATCGAGGTTCTCAACGCTACAGCCCCTTGGGATAATGTAGTGGTCTCTGTGAACCCGATATCGTTCACCATGACTGGATGTTATCGTGATATGAGTCATCGCTACCTGGAACTTGAGTCCACTCATCGACAAGCTCTGTGGAAATCCACTCATGCTTTCGCGATCTCCCCGGCCCAACGACGATATGAACGGTTCATGCAAGCATTCTGGCGCCAACGAAAGCAACGCCGATCTCGCTTTGGAGCGCGTTGGAAGAACTTCTTGAAGATGATACTCAGCGGCATGATTGCTGGCCACTGCGATCTTGACATCTTGCTGGATCCCTTCTTCCTCCACTATCCGCGCCCACATAAGAGCGAGTTTGGTATCCAGGGTTAGGACATTCTAACGACCCAGCCGACTTGCTAGAGGCATTGACCATGGCGGACCAAGAGGATCCTTGGCGCAATCAGTTCCGTAACGCCTATTGGGATCATCCCGGATCGCAGATCCCTCGTCTGCAGGACAAGTTCAAACCTGCTCATTCGTCTTAGTCCAAGATCGATATCCAAGCCCGAGCGTCTTTCATAATCATGTAAGTCATTCAATCATCTTTTTTTCGGTACTTCAATTCTTTGCAACTTCCACGATCTCGATCCTCATCGCTCCACATCATTCAGGAAGGTAATTCACTTGACTATCTCCATACTCACATACAAAAACCTCATCCACCAGCATGTGCTACCGTCTAGAACATCTTTCAACCCCTACATCCGCATATGCTACCTCCCGCATACTTGTTCGAACTGTTAAGGTTCGTCCGACTTGCCTTCATGAGACTGCATTACGTCGAAACGGTTTCGACTCACTTGGTTCCGCTCAAACTCTTGCAAGCTCGCCCCACAACTTAGATCGGCCTCGTCCACCCAACTTAGATCGGGATATCCCTTCCACTTCACCAGAAACTGCCGGTGTACTCGCCCATGACGGGTTTTCCTACCAGATCGCACGTCCAATATTTCTTCTGTTAGCGAGTGATGATGCGGCGACTTGTGCAGGGTGTATATTGCATATTTGCATTAGTTGTATTGTTCTTTGGCAGGTTTATGTTGTGGATGTTGGCGAATCGAAATTCATCGGATTGGCTCTGTCGTTTGGGAAGGGGATTCCACGCGGGTGAGTGCGGGTTCGATCCCCGCCGTGTACAAGTTAACTGTGACTGACACTCACGACCTGGTGTTTGGGGTTCACCAGAACTGTGACCCGCCCGCAGTTACGTCCCCCACCCACGCAATCGTTTTCATTCTGCATATGACACAGCAGATTTTTTACGAAAGGTATTTACGAGACGTAATTACCCAGTGATAGGTAAAACAGAAAGCGGTGGAGACAGGGCACGAAATAGGTGACTGAGAGCACCGGCTACTACTAGCCATTCGTTTTCGAAGCTAGGAACAATTTAAATACAACTCACTTTTTGGTTTTCATCCCTGGCCGTAAGCCATCTTCTTCTTCTCATCAGCTCCACAACCTAGTTAATTCTAACAGGTTATGAGCCCAAGTAACGACTCCGGTTTCAAGGTCGAGCCTTCCGACGGCTCGAACTATGGGTTGTGGAGTTACAAGATGAAGATGTACCTGATGTCGAAGGGGCTGTGGGGCGCGATCGCGGGCGATGAGACAACAAGTGAGGCCAAGGAACAGCAAGCCCACGCCGCGATCGTGCTGAATCTGAGCGATTCGCAGTTGATGCATGTCATCGACTCGGCCACTGCAAGAGAAGTGTGGGGACGTTTGGCGCGATTTCATCACAGTCATGACATGGCGAATCGACTTTGGCTGAAGGAAAAGTTCGCGTCGTTCAAGTATGCAGCATCAAGCATGAGCGGTCATGTGATGGAGCTGGAGGACCTCGTGATGAAGATGAAGCGCGCGAACTGCGGTCCAAGCGAAGAGGACGTGTGCGCGGTACTGTTGCGGAGTCTACCTTCAAGCTTCGAGAGCTTGGTACAGGCATTCAGCATGTCCGTCGCAAGCTTCAGTTTTAGTGACCTCGTGAGCAAGTTGATCGCCGAAGAAGTGCGCCAGAGTGAGGCTGCACGGGTAGAAGATGCAACGGCGCTCTACGCAGGCAAGAGGAAGGGTAAGCAGTACCCGAAGAAGCAACAAGGACGGCGCGCGAAAGGACCATCAGGGACCTGCTACAACTGTGGCAAGGTCGGACACTACGCTAGAGATTGTCGCTCTGGTCGAGGGCCAAGGGAGCACCAGCATGACCAGTCAAACGTCGCGTTTAATGCTTGCGAAGGTTTCGCGAGCGACAGCTGGGTCATGGACAGTGGCGCGTCAGCACACATGTGCAAGGATCGAGATGCGTTCGAAGAGTACGAAGAAGTGCATCACACGCGCAGCATTTCAAGCGCAAAGAGCGACGTGAAGCTGAATGTCATTGGACATGGGACAGTGAAGCTGCGCGTCTGGACAGGGCATGCGTGGATCGACGCTCGCCTTGAGAACACACTTCACGTACAAGATTTGTCCAAGAACCTGTTTTCGCTCACGGCTGCGGCAGCGCGCGGTATGACAGTGGAGATAACGCGCAACGAGTGCGTGGTGAAGCGTGGCGGCACACCCGTCGCAACAGGAAGGAAGCAGGGGTTCCTCCTGTATCTCAATGCTGACTATGGTACGGAGTGCCACATGGCCGAAGACGATACAGAGCTATGGCATAGAAGACTGGGTCACGTGTCGTATGGTACGCTAAATGCCATGGTCAAGGACGGAAGGATCAAGGGCGCAAAGGTGAAGACGAACGTTGCGTGTGACGTATGCGCAACGTCAAAGCAAGTGCGCAAGTCATTCAAGACAAGTGAAGAAGACGCTGAAACCAGGGAGAGTTCGCGTTCCGACGTGGTGGTGGCTCCGACGTTCTCGAACCTATCACGCCAGCGTCCAAGTCTGGTTTCAGTTACGCCGTAACCTTCATCATGATGAAGAGCAGGTATGTAACGGTCTATCCGTTGCGAAAGAAGAGCGACGTTGCGAGTGCGTTCAAGCGGTTTTACCAAGATGTCAAGACAGCATCTGGAACGAAGATAAAGGTGTTGCGAAGTGACAACGGCGGCGAATACCGGAACGAAACGATGAGCAGCTTTTGCAAGGCAAAGTTCATCAAGCAAGAATTCACGGTTCCGTACAACCCAGAGCAGAACGGGATGGCGGAGCGGATGAACCGCACGCTGGTGGAGATGACGCGCTGCATGCTCAAGGAAAGCGGCCTCGACAAGTCGTACTGGTGCGAGGCACTAATGGCAGCGGCAGACATCAGAAACATTCTGCCGAACGCGTCGAACAAGAATTCAAGCCCACACGAGATGGTGTTCAAGAAAGTTCCGCGCATCGATCACATGCGCGTGTTTGGTGCGCAATGCTATGCGCATGTGGCGAAGAAGAAGAGATAGAAGCTGGACGACTCAGGCGTGCGATGTTTCTTTCTCGGCTATGCGAAGGACCAAAAGGCGTACCGGCTTCTCAACGCGGACGATGGCTCAATCGTGATTTCAAGAAGCGTCACGTTCGCTGAGCATTCTGTCTCGAAAGCATCTAAAAGCAGAGACACTCGGGTGTTCGATGTCATTGTAGAAGAGGAAAGTGTGGAGGCGTCGCTACCCGATGATGAAGACAAACCAGCGCCGGTGACCGAAGAAGAGCTACGCACCCCACCACTTCGAGCACAGAACAGCTCTCATCACGGACCAATTGACCGACCAAGCGACACCATTCCTACGCGCGCATCCAGCACACCCGGAAGAAATGGAGAAGAAGAGTGGATGGTGCGACCGGTTCGGAAGAAGCGCGGCGTGGTTCGCTACGAACAAGAATTTCCAAGCCATCGTCGCGGTCACTTCAATTTGGACGACTACGAAGGTGACTTCGACTCTTTCTACTGTTTCTCGGCTGAAGAAGATGGGGAACAAGCGTCCAGCTATCAAGAAGTGATGAAGAGCGGCTACAAGGAGGAGTGGCTGCAGACAATGAAGAGCGAGATGAAGTCGCTTGAAGAACACAGCACGTGGAAGCTAGTGGACATGCCACCGGGCAAGAAGGCCGTAGGCTGCAAGTGGGTCTTCAAGATTAAACGCGATCCAAGTGGCGAGATCATCAAGTTCAAGGCACGCTTTGTTGCGAAAGGACTCACGCAGCGTCCTGGCATCGACTACAGCGAGACCTTTGCACCAGTGGCGCTTTCATGTACACGACCGGACATTGCGCATGCGGTTGGCGAAGTTGCGAAGTTTTGCGAGCGCTACGACAAGTCGCATTATACAGCAGCAAAGCGGATTCTCAAGTATCTCAAGACGACTCAAGACTTAAGCATCGTGTTCAGCGGCATCAACAAGGGAGAGCTGATCGGATTCGCGGATGCAAACTGGGCTGGCGACCTCGACATCAAGTTTCACTTTTTGGGTGAAAAGGTTGCAAGTGCAGTGATCGCGCTAGAGTTCAAGTTGACAGAAGAAATGGTCGCGCATGGATTCACCAAGGCACTTCCAAGAGACAAGCACATCAAGTTCATCCCGGGTCTGTGCATGGCGGTGTAGGGCGCACACGTCGCACGCACATCAAGGGAGAGTGTTAGCGAGTGATGATGCGGCGACTTGTGCAGGGTGTATATTGCATATTTGCATTAGTTGTATTGTTCTTTGGCAGGTTTATATTGTGGATGTTGGCGAATCGAAAGTCATCGGATTGGCTCTGTCGTTTGGGAAGGGGATTCCACGCGGGTGAGTGCGGGTTCGATCCCCGCCGTGTACAAGTTAACTGTGACTGACACTCACGACCTGGTGTTTGGGGTTCACCAGAACTGTGACCCGCCCGCAGTTACGTCCCCCACCCACGCAATCGTTTTCATTCTGCATATGACACAGCAGATTTTTACGAAAGGTATTTACGAGACGTAATTACCCAGTGATAGGTAAAACAGAAAGCGGTGGAGACAGGGCACGAAATAGGTGGCTGAGAGTCACCGGCTACTACTAGCCATTCGTTTTCGAAGCTAGGAACAATTTAAATACAACTCACTTTTTGGTTTTCATCCCCGGCCGTAAGCCATCTTCTTCTTCTCATCAGCTTCGCAACCTAGTTAATTCTAACATCTTCTACTTCGTATTCTCCCTCTTCAAGATCGCTCTTCCAAATGTCTTCTGGTAACAAAGCTTCATCAAAGTCCAAACGATCTGCTTCGTCTATCGTAAGCTGATCCTTCGGCCGTTCAGGGAACGTCTTTACCTTCTTCAGCTTTGATAAATGTACGATCAGAAATAGCCGATTTATGGTTCCAGCGATTTCACAGCGTGATCTGCACACATGTCCGCAACTCGGAATGGACCATGCCACATATGCGCTAGCTTCTTCGCATATCCCTCTTTAACTCGGTCCAGGTATAGCCAAACTTGCGCTCCTACTTCGATCTCGTGTGGTTCCAGATCTTTATTGTGTCGATCCGCTCGCTCCTAGATTGCGGCTTGTAAATGATCGTTCACTGCAGATCGGGCTTGCTAGCTTTTATTTGAATTTTGTATCTCCACCTCTTAAGATCGCGATCTCGTGTTCCCGTATTCCCCACTGATAGCGTAGCTTACAATGTCGATCGCGGGTCCCACCCATCAAATAAGATAAAATTGGGGTGTCCCCCAAGATTCGATCTTGTGCGGTGTTGATTGCAAATTTGAGCCGCTCAGCATACTCATCCCAGTCTCGTTGATCGTCAGCCACGTACACTTTGAGTGAATGCGTCAAGGTTTGTACCGTCCGTTCGGCTGTTCCATTTGCTTGTGGCCTGTAGGCCACGGTAGCACGCTGTTTCTGTCCTACGATCCGACTGAAGGCTCGAAAAAAATCTGACATAAATCCCGGTTCTCGATCGTGCCTGGTAGCCTCGCTAGCTCCGAAGCGTCGAAACACACATTCTTCGTAATTCTCCGCTATTGTTTGTGCCGTCCGTGATGAGCTAGCCTTTGCAATCACATATCCCGAGAAGAGGTCCACCCAAATGAGCAACCCAGTATTCCCCTTGATGGACTTGGGCAACGACGGTATATGATCCATGGCGATGAACTGGAATGGATAGGTTGCGTGTAGATTGCCCGGAGATTTCCCATGAATCATCGGGTTTCCTGATCCGGTTTCACAGTCGGTACATTCGCTCACATTTCGTTGCACACTCCGATACAGTCCTCTCCAATGGAATCGCGATCTGATCCTCTGACAGATTCTACCGATACCCTAATGCCTCCTTCCAGACTCGTATGATACTAATGCAAAAAATCATGTTGCAACGTCTCAGGGATCACCAACCGCATCAAACCATCGCGATCTTCTGACTCTCTTTTCGCCATGGGGCAAAAAATAGCAGATTGTTCTCATCGATCTCGTGTTCCGGCGCCAGTTTGGCGCACATCTTCACTTCTCCCGCATCCAAGTTTGATACATCGCCACGTAGTTATGTCTTGAGATTGACAATACGACGCTCTCCATCTTGAGCTTGGACATTTCGTTGAATCCTGATCCTCTGTACTATCTCCTTCTGTATCACTTCAGGTTCATGACGTATCCTCCTGGCTGATCTCGCGATCGCAGTTACCCGAGCTAGCTGACCATCTTGCTTGGGCTTCAACAATTCATCGAGACGGTTCAGAGTCATCAGATCTTGCCGATCCTCTTCAGCTACAACCGTTCTTCCCTTTTCGCTCTGCAATGCTGTGCTGGCTAGTCGATCTGCGCTCTGATTCCACTCTCGCTTCAAATGCAGAAACTCGTGACTAGGCCAAGATCGCAATTTCTCTGAAGCTTTATGTTTCAAGAGTAGCAGGCCCGAGGCTTTGCAATAGATCTCACCGCGCATCTGGCGGATCACCAAATTAGATTCCCCACAAAGATGATATTTCCCCTGTCCAGATCGGCCAGTAAATTGAAGCATAATAGCAAGCCATGATACTCAGCTTCATTCACGGTGAGGTCGAAAGCGTGTCTGGATTCTGCCGCCACGATCGTCCACTCGGGTAACCTCCATAACACAGCACTGTACTACCCTCCTTTCTTTTTATCCTCGCCGAACCATCGAAATTGGCCACCAGCAACTCCTCATCTTTTTCCACCGTTGGAGGAGGCGTCGATATTTTGAGTCGACAGTCTTTTCGTGGGGAGATCGCAATCAGCATCTCTTCCACTTCTCCTCTCGGAGTGATACTCGCTGCTAACATGCCCAGGATCTCTTCCTCTCCTCTTTCACATTTCTTCACCTCCATAGTCCAATTTGACAACAAAGCAGCCCACCGTCCTAATCTCCCGTTGAGCCCTCGAGACTGCATCAACCAGGCTAACGTAGAATGTCGGGTCAGTGCAGTGATCTCCCGCGAGGCAAGCGTAGTATAGCATACATCCAACACACGAAGTAGCGCCAGCACTTCTTTTTCTACCGTTCCGTAGTTAAGCATATTATGCTTTAAAGTGCGGCTAGTAAACGTCACCGGATGGTACACGCCATCGTACTCCTGTATCAGGGCCGCTGAGACAGCCCACTTGCTAGCGTAGACCACGATCACGGGAGGGCGATCTGAGTCGAAATGCTTGAGCATGGGAGCTGTAGCTATCTTAGCTTTTAGCATAGTGAAAGCAACCTTGGCTTCTGTCCATAGACCCTCGTTCGACCATTCATCTCCTGCTGCAAGCTGAGATTGGCGATCTCGAAGAAATCCGATTCTCTTAACTCATACAACACCGCGGCATACACCGCGAAATCCTCAATGAAACGGTGGTAGTAGTTCAAGCTCCCGCGGAAAGATTGCATAGCTCGCAGCGTGCTAGGGAACGGGATGTTGACCAACGACTCCAAGTTCTTGGTCTGAGCCTCCAGATCATCCATCGACACTTGATGTCCCGAATAATCGACCTTGTGGCACCCCCAAAAGATCTTCATGAGACTGATAGACCGATTCCACTTATCACATGCCTCCAGCAACCGTTCTACTTTTGTGTACAAAGATCCCCATGACGTGGCTGGTATGAGAATATCGTCAATGTAGGATCGGCGTCCCAGTATAGACGGTCGTCGATCTGTCTCAGGTTCTCCATCTTTGAACACGTCGATCGGGCCATCAGAAGCTGATCTCTGGCCAATCTTGAGATATCGATACAGCGCATTGTCAACCAGACGTTGGTAGATCTGGGGTGCATTTTTAAGTCCAAAAGGCATTCGCAGCCACTCGAACAAGCCAAACGGCGTGACAAACGCCGAGATCAGTTTTGCTCGTTCAGTCATTTCGACGACTCAGAATCCACTAGCCATGTCTAGCGAAGGGTACCATAGAGCTTTATCCAGATCTTCCAACAGATCGCTGATCAACGGCACGGGATAAACCATCAGGCGCGTCAGCTGGTTCACTCTTCGATAATCAATGCAAAGGCGAATATCCACTCCGTTCTTCTTGATGATCACCACTATCGGAGACGCCCAAGGTGACGTGGATGGCTAAACGATCTTGTCTGCTAACAGTCCTTTGATGAGATCTGACAGCTTCTCTCGATATTTGGGTGCGACCGGACGGACTCTTTACACAATTGGTGCGGCTCCACCGACATCGATATCACAAATCGCCCCATGTGCCGCTGGTGGTAGAGCATTACCTTTACCCATAAGAAGGTGACGGCTCTTCCAAATCAGCGATCTGAGCCGTTGTTGATCTGCGGTGAGCGGAACGTCCGGATCGCGGATCTGAAGGTCGTTAATTGTCACTTCTTCCGTAGCAGTGTACATCTCTGGTAACACCGTCAGGTGGTGCTCGATGTCTTCGGTAAAAAATTCTCCACTCTCGTGATAGTAGACTGGTGCTTCTGAGGAGTCAGCTTCGTCGACCTTAGACGGCTCGTCCTCTTCAGAGCTTTGCGTCGCCTCGGACCGATCCAGTCCTGCTCTGTTGTCTGCAAGATTGACGTCCAATGAAGACAGCCTGTTGTCTTGTTATTCTCGTTCGGTCCCGTGATCTCTTCTCATCGCGATCTCGGTTTCGATCTCACGATTCTTATCCTCCAACGATGGATTTGTTTCATCGAGTGGATTCAATCCGACTCCGTTGACCGTTCCTGCCCTTGCAACCACAGTATCTGCCTTTTGCAAGTCGTCGTCGCCATCTTGCTGCGTTACCATGGAGATCGCTGGAGGTATGTCCTTTAAAGCATCAGACGGACGCTTCATGATGCATTTGGGAGTGGCGTACGTAGGGCGATCTACCAAAGGTACAATCTGCTCTTTTGGGAGTTCAGTCACTCGATCCGTCGTAGCCTCATACGCCAGAGTTTGCCACTCCTTGTACTCCCCCGATCCGACCGTCACAAAACCTTGAGTTCGTGGTACCATATCGCCTTCGGTCCACAAGCCTGATATCGTGTGAGTGGGCAGTATGATCTCACGGTTGTCAACGTTGGTCATCTGCAGGTATATCGTCTTATACAACCCCGAGATCACAGTGGGGACCCAATCTAGTCCTCTAGCGACCCACAACTTCATCTTAGCCCCTCCGATCCCGATCTTCACTTCCCTTGACTCTCCGACCGGGATAATCACATTTCGGTCCTTCGCCGTTACATGTTGTATCTTCGATCCGTACGCGGGGCGACGTCCTGCGAGATGGATACGGATTTCTTCTGGTAGACATAGCACGCCGTCAGCTAGATCGAGCCGCACTCCAGCAGGCACCATTAAGTCCATGCTTAGAATCACTTATTGCCCTGCCAGATCGCCTAACCATACATTGCAATAGTATACCAGCGATCCCGTGAAGGTTACTTTGATCTTAGTCAAAGTAACCTTCGCGGGATCGCTGGTATACTATTGCAATGTATGCGTTCTATCGTCATGTACGGGGTTTTTCCGATCCCGATACATTCTTGTCGTTGACTTTCGTCAATATTGCAACCGAACTTACGAGCAAAGGTGGTGTCAATGATCGACACTTCAGCACCAGAATAAAATAGCAGAGTGGCCTTTTCGTTGTTGATCTTGCCAACAGCTTTCGCCTGTTTGAACCACTTCCCGGGCGAGTAATGTTTCCAGTATCCGCGAGATCCACCGTAAGCAAGCTCGATCTCCATAGTTGGTTCAGAGCGCGAGTACTCATCGATCCTCTTCAGATAGGACACGGAAGCGACACGTTTTGACTTCGAACGAGATGTTTTTGTTTCCATATCTGTATCCTGCTTACTCTCGCGATATGTCTTCTTTTTTTCACGTATGCAATGATGCAGAGCCCAGAACGCTTGGCTCGTACCAGATTCAAACCTGGCGAGTGTCCTAGTTTAACATCTTCTCGGCCTTCTCTGGCAGCATCCCCGCATGCTTGGTTAAGACGTACCACTGGCGGATCATGTTGTAGAACTCCTCCATGGGACACTTCCCCGGGTCATGCATCTCACCGCAGGCGCGACACGCGAAAAAAACATTTTTCAGAGGGGTGTCATCTGCGCCCACATTTCTGGCAAGTGAGCCGCTTCCAGCAACCGAGATCTCCATGCTTGGTCGATCCGCAATGAGTACACGGCTTCGATAGCATATTGCGATATCGATAATCTTGACGAGTGTTAGGGTCGGCCGATCTCGCGTTTGCTGCAACGTCATTAGGAGATGAACGCCGATCCGTGGTAGCAGCCACATGGATCGATCTCAATCGATCTTCCAAATCCGATCCGCAGGTGTCCGATCCTGACTCGCTGCAGACGTCCTCGGTACGGGCCAACCTCACCGCTCATGCACGCTTAGAAAACGCTGGACCCGGAGTTCTCTTCTGCCTGAACTTGGACGATCCCATCATCACTTTCCCTTGACGCGATCTCCCTTGTTGATATCCGTACAGTGTCTTTTGCATGGCCTCCGCGTCTTCTACATTCAGCAGTAGCAATTGATTGGACAGATCGGGTTCGTCCAAGGTGTCAATGGAATGGTTGACATGTTCCTTGCGCGCAGCTGGCAATCCAGTCATCACCGGTATCTTCGCTTGCGTTCCCATCACATTAAGCCGATACAGGTACTGCAAAGGATCTTTCTCCGATTGTTTCTTTGCATGATAATATTGCCGGCTCGTGGACATCCCGTGTCCCGCATATTCCACAAGAAAACTGTTCATCAATTCTTTCCAACTGAATCTCGTCGATCTACTCAGCTGTCGATACCAGTAGCGGGCTGGGCCCACCATGAGATCACCGAAGACCAGACATCTCTCTTCGTCCGGTGCTTAGTCCCTGATAAACGCTGATTTCACTTTGCCGACCCAGGTCCGTGCTTTGTCTTCTTCCCGATCCTTCCCTGAGAATTCTTTCAGCTCAGAAATCGCTGAGATTCTGATCCTCTGCGTGAATTTTTCCCCCTCCGGTAGTCACACCGGTCGCGGCTACGTGAGGGCGCCGTGGTTCGGGCACCCATAAATCATCCGGGTCGTATTCCGCCCCATGATGGATCTGTTGGTAAGTGTCCGACTCCACCGATTCCATCTCCACATCCGGCATGTCAAGGCTTTCGTGTGAAGGTTGGAGCAAAGTACGTCGATCTGGGTAGCGGTTTGGCTGTCGATTCATTCGCTGAGCTGTACGTTGATCCGCCTCGTACTTCTTCATGGCTGAATTGAAGTACCGACTTAGATCGCCCTCTTCCTGATCATCAAGCCCAGTAAGGGTACCGTCCGATCTCCGTGGCATGTCGCTCCTGGCTTGTCCTTCAAAGGCGTCGGTCTTGGCTCGGCCGATCTTGTCCTTTAAGAACCTTCCACCCGATGGTCCTAGAGACATCTGACGAATGCTGATGGATCCATCTGACTCGCTCTCGGAGTCCTCCGAGGCGTAGCGGGCGATCCCGCGGGGTGTTTACAGAGCGAGACCGAGGGCGTCCCGATCTTGTCTTCAGGAGTATTCGCTTTGCCCACTAGCATTATCATGATCTCCACAAACTCATTCGCCGTGTTCTTCAACTGTTCCAAGCTGCAACTCAGCAGTTCATCTCCATCAAAGGCGTTAGGGCAGATACCCATGTCGTCCAACATTTGCAAAATCACATTGATCTCGTCGACTTTGTTGGTCCCGTGAAGTGGGACCGAGATCGGCTTATCCAGAGGACCAATCACCTTGGGTCTTAATATCTTGAACACTGGGTCCGTCTTGAGCATCGTCTTCAACTGGCCATAATAGTACTGCCATTTTGCACGCTCCCGCGCTTCACCCGTCGTCTCCTTCTCCATGGACGCGATCTTTATTGGGTTGTATTCCGTCTTTGGCATCGCGATCTTATCTGGTGTTTCATCGTATTCCTCTTTGGCTCCGATCTTCGATTGCACGGTTCGGCCGATCTGGCAATCTTTGACATCTGATCCCATCGATCTCGTCGCGGATCGTTCTGATGTGGTCGATCTCGCGATTGTGCTCTTCGGCTTGAGGTCGGGCGATCTATCGACTAAGATATAGGGTTTGGCTTTCGCCGATTTGGTTTTCACCATTGGATTTTCATCCAGCAGATCGCTCTTTTCAGAGCGATCTGCGGTGGCCCCCGAAGGGACCCTAGGAGGGAATTGAGATTTATCTCCCAGATCGATCTCTCGATCTTCCTCTTTCATTTTCATTTCATCAGAGCCCCTCCCAAAACTCTGATGATCTGAGGATCTTGTGCTTCTGCGTGTCTGCGTCGATCCCTTTGTCGCTGACACTTCATTCCCAGGTTCTTGCTTGATCTTGACATCTTCGCCAGTGGACTCACGGTGAAATCCAGAGGACTCAGAAGATCCGGGCACGCGCACAATTGTGGTGAAGCCGATCTCACAAAATTACTTTAGTGAGTGTCGATCTTCCACTTGCCCAGACTTGCCGACTCACGGAGGGGGTACTCCGATCCGTGCCTTGTTGTATGACCTTGTGCTCACCTTGTGTACCCATCGGTTGGGCTGGCTTGAGCTCTTCGTAACGGCCTTGGAGGATGTCGATCTTGCTGAGAGGTTGGGTTAAGAGCTCGCTTCCGGTGCGGAAATCTTCACACCACAAACAGGGGTTCTGCGATCTTGATCTCGAGTCGCGGCGATCTCTAGTTAAAGATGTCGCGATCTCGATCTTGAATCGCACCGATCTCGATTTGTCTTCGGGATCGGGGTCTCTGCTGATAGTAGTTTTGCGTCGATCTTGCCTTGGGATCGGTCCGATCTGGTCTTGGGATCGTCCGATCTTGCTGGAAGTGCGCAATTTTGGCAGGTCGGTCCTTGGTTTCGCCAAAATGAAACACGCCGATCTGTCCAGTGGATCGCTTCGATCTTGCTCAATCATGTCTTGAAAGCCTTGTCCAGATCTTCTGACCACTTGAGCCGTCTCGCGATCCTGTGTCCAAAATCCTTTTCCTTTTCCGTTGTGTGCTGCTACCCTAGCAGTTGAGTTGAGAGTGAGTACTTGATCGATCCGGGCCAAACTTCCCGAGATAGGTCTTCTGTGTCCTTGTAACACGCGTGCCTTGACCCGCCGGGGAAGCCAAATCAATCTTGCCCGGAGAAGAGGGGAGGAGAACGTGCGTTGTGAGCAGAAGAAGTAGAGTTCAAGTATGTTTAATAACCAACCAAATTAATAGCCAAGCTATGTTTAAGCCAATTCCCAACTATAGGTCACTCTCCAAGTCGATATCACCTTTAAGCTTGACCGCCCCCTTGAACACGTGTCGAGATTTCATGACCTGTACTCCAAAGATAGCGCCAATATCCCCGATATCGTACCTAAACGCCAAAAGAGGACCAAATCCCAAATGAGGTACTAAATACCCATTTTTGGTGCCCAAAAGCCCGAAATAGAGCCCAAATGCCGAAGGCGTCTAAATCCATTTTGCGACGTAATTTAACCGGCTTCCACTGACTTTTTGGATCTGAACTTTTGAGACATCACTCATGGACCTTCAACAAGCATGTTTGTCGTGATCCAAAAGTCTCATCAACGATTTATCCATAATCAGTGGGGAACATGACCGATCTGATGCCCAATTCGAGATCGTTGAGGATCGACACTGTACAATCCGGCCATATATGTTCTTCCGTTCATTGTGTGTACTTCTATATCATCCCCAAGGGTTTATCTGCTCAATGGGACCATCCACAGTTCTTACAACGGTCCCGCGGACTCCCACAAACATCCCCACTTCCAGGTCGGGCCATAATTAACCTAAATCAGTACTCCCTTTGGGAGACCCGTAGAGAGTGTCACCGATCTGCAGGATGTTGCACCTTCGTCACAGAGTCATATCACATCACCTGGTCCCAGATCTTTGTCCCAGATCGCTCCATGGAAATCGTTCTATTTGTCGTCTTGTCCCAGATCACTCCGTTTCAGATCGTTACATACCCATCAGTCTGACGACAGTTGAATCGGATCGCCGATCCCCGTTGAGACCGCCTTCCATCTCCTTATCGGATCTCCAGGTCTCATGGCCTCATTTTCCACCAGTAAGTGGCGTCTCAAATATGTGGCTACCGATCCTCGCATAAAATTTTGATAAGTGACTTCGCCACAATGGCGGCCCTTTCCCACCGAGATTGGTCATTTAGATCATGCTCACCCCCTTGTAATGTGTTATTGCAACTACCTGACATCGCATCACGATCTCCCATACGGCTCATCTCGAAAAAATTCGCCTCTCTTAACTCGTACAACACAGATGCATATACTGCAAAATCTTCTTCAAAACGACAGTGATAGTTCAAGCTACCTGGATACGATTGCATGGATTGCACAGTTGTGGGAAAAGGAATGTCAAACAGCGACCCTAGATCTTTAGGATTGGCCTCCAACCCAGCCAAAGATACCTGATGACCTAAGTAATCCACCTGACGCCATCCCCAAAAACTCTTGGTCAGACTGTTCGACATTTTACATCGATCGCATGCTGTCAATAATCTTTCGACCTTGTCGTACAAAGATGTCCATGACGTAGCCACGATCAATAAATCATTAATGTAAGATCGCCTTCCTAGCACTGACGGCGCTTGATCCGTTTTCGGCTCTCCCTCAGTAAACACATCAGTCAACTTAGGATGATCCGTTGCATTCACATCCTTATCTGTGCCGATCTTGAGATAACCATATAGAGAGTTATCAATCAAACGCTGATAGATTTGTAGGGCGTTCTTCAATCCAAAAGGCATCCGCAGCCATTCAAACAGACCTGACGGCGTGATAAACGCAGAGATCGATCTTGCTCGTTCAGTCATCTCTACCATCCAAAATCCACTCGCAAATGTCCAGCGAACAATACCACATTTCTTTGTCCATGTCCTGCAACAATTCACTGATAAGTGGCATAGGGTACACCATCAGCTGTGTTAGCTGATTAACTCGTCGTTAGTCGATACACAGTCGGATTACTATTCCTTTTTTCTTAATAATCACGACAATTGGTGATGCCCACGGCGATGTCGAAGGTCGGATAAAATTGGCTGACAACAGGCCTTTTATTAGATCGTCCAACTTCTCACGAAACTTTGGCGCAAGAGGTAGTACACGCTAAGCGATCGGCCTCGCCTCTCCCACATCAATATCGCAAACGGCCCCGCGTGATGCAGGGGGTAGTGCATTTCCTTTCCCGATCAACAGGTGACGACTCTTCCATATCAGTTGTCGCAAATCCTCTTGATCCTCTGTCAAGAATATTCGAGGATCGCAAACCTGGACATCGTCTATTGTTATCTCGGTCGTGGATATGGTTACTTCCAGCAGTACAGCCATGTGTTGTTCCACATCAACCGCGAACAGTTCACCTCCCTCGTGGTAACATGTTGATTCATCCGGTACATCATTTTTTATCACTTCGCCGTCGATCGTAACAGCTTTCACGTCATCATCTAGTCGTGTAGACTGGCCATGCACCTCCCGATCTTCAACCCTGATCCCTTATTGGTGACAGTTGGACTGTCCTTATAGCGAATCAGTTGTCTCATGGTTGATTTTCGGTGTCATAGCCTCCTCTGCAACCATGTCCTCTTCACCTGAATGTTCTGGCGTCTTCCGCACTGCGTTGACCGCACACGATCTCATTGTCAATCGATCATCCTTGTCTTCGTTGTTCTTTCCACTCGTACATTCGTCCGGCAATTCCTCACTAGAGTCACCGTTAGAGTCGGTTAGTGAGGCAATCTCTGCAGAATCCTTGATGTCGTCTGATTTTCGTTTTGAGCGTGTCAAAATTCGGGTAGATTTCTTATACTAAGGATGATCCACTAACGGGCCCGTGTAGGCTTTGGCCTCTTCTTCTTCTCGATCTGTAGTGGCTTCAAAGCCAATGTCTGCCATTCCATGTACCGCCGCGATCCTACAGATACGTATCCTTTAGATCGCGGGATCATGTCTTCTGTTATCCACAAGGCTAAAGGAGCCCCGCAGTTTAAAAAAAAGTCACGATCCCTTACATTTGTAAGCTGCAGTAACTTAATCCTTCCGGGACCATTCGTCACGGTAGGAATCCACGCCATATCCCGTCGCACCCAAAGCTTAGATTTTAGAGGATTGACGCCGATCCTGACTTCTGCCGATTTGCCGGCCGCAATGGCTATATGTTAATCGTTAATGTTGACCGCCGATATATTCAATTGGTACGGTAGTCTCCGTCCAGCCAGACAGATTCGAACTTCATCTGGCAGGCAAAGGGTTCCTTCGGCCAATTCCAAACGGATACCTGCAGGAACCAT